TAAGGGGAAAAAAATGTAAAACTAAAAAACCATTTTTCAATTTGTCACTAAAAGAATGTCAAAATCAATTCAATTAAAAGCAGCATTTTCATTTCTTTTTTCTGTTTTGTTTCTTAATTTTACTACTTCTCTCTTGATCTTTTATCATTATTTTCTATTTATCATATTGCGTACATATAATGTTCGTAACGTGTACATAAAACGTGAATTCAAACATAAAATTTCTGAATGCTTTCTTTTATTCTCTTTTTTTTTTTAAAAAGGTGTGTAGTGTAGGCAAGTCCGTATAAGTTTAATTCAATATAATAGTGTATGTTATTTATAAACGTTATATTGATTTCTTTATGTGAATTAAAATTGTATATTCACATTGTGTATATTAAATAAAAAAGGTCAATAAATTAATTATAAAAAAATTATCATCAATTAACCGGCTTTAGAAATAAAAAACGGCATCACACGACGCCTCTATTCTTATTTTACTTTCTTTATTAAATTTTTTTTTGTTTTTTTTTTTTTCATTTTCAAATTCAATTAAAATTAATTTTTAATACAATCAACATTACGATCTTCGTTCGTTCGTCTCATGTTTGTCTCTTATATACAAGACGACACAAATTACATTATTTTTCTTTCCGTAATTTATTTCGAATGTGTATACTTACGAGAAATGTTACAAAATATCATTTTGATTAACTATTTAAGCGCAACATTTCAATCATGATTATAAAATCAAGACCAAAAAAAAAAAATATTTTCTTATTTTCTTATTTTTTTCTAATTTTTCAATGAAAAAATTCGAATATACGTGAAAATATTTTTTTTGCACAAAATATCTCTTAAATAAATAAATACGAGTTAAATTTTGTGTATAACTATATCTTGGATTACATTCGTAAATATTATTTGATCCAGAAAATTTCACTAAAAAACAAAAAAATGTGGATAAGTGCTTTTTTGTTTTGTTTTTTTTTTTTATTGCTATTTTATACCAGTAATATTGAAAAAAAAAATTGCACAATTTTCAATGCATGAATTCATTTAAAAAAAACACCAACAGTAGCTAAAAATCTTTTAGGTATTTTTGTTTTTTTTAATGGGTGAACGGCCATTGAACTCATTCTTTCACCTTATACAATACAGCGGGGTTGCAATACATATTATATGCATATATTCAAGTTTGTTTGTATATGCTACAAAAATTATTTTTTGATTATCGACCTCAATATAATTATTTATTATTATTACTATATAAATTACAAAATATGATGAGCATAATTATGATTTTATAAAAAAAAAAATTATTTTTTTTTAACAACATAATTTATTAATAATTATGGTTAGATAAAAACAATAGAAAAAAATTTTAGTTTTTATTTTAATACATAATAAGTTTTTAATTTAACAACAAAAAATAGTTGAAATATAGTATATTGTACGTCTGTATTGTGGTGTGTGTATGTTTAATTGTGGTTAAAAAATTTTCATGAAAAAGAAAAATGGTTTTTTCTAAAAAGTCGGTGCAAATGGAAGTCAATAGACAACAGGCAAATTATACTGATAGAATTTTTTTTTCTGAAATTTTTAAGAAACATCTAAAAAATATAAAATGTGTTCGAGTATTTGAATCAGTGTTGTCAACTCTTTCTCGCTAAATTTACCACAGTTCAAAATTTCTCACTGTTTTTTCCCATATAATTTCTCCTTAAAATTTTTTTTACTAATTCGCATTCATCTAGCGTTGCGCTTAATTAAAAAACGTATTTATTCATTTAAAAAACTATATTAGTTTAATAGCTTCAAAATAAATAGCAGGACTTTTTATTTTTGATCAGGTGTCACTAGTAAAAAAGAAATTTAAATAAGTAAATTAGAAAAAATATAATTTCAATGGAATTTCTGACGATTTTTGGACTTTACCTTTTTCCCTTCAAAGATTCAAAATTCCTTCAAAATGAGAAATTTCTCAAAATTTGGCAATACTGATTTGAATAATAACATAAGAGAATTTTGTTTTTAGCAATGTTTTAAAATAAAAGTGAGTGATGAGTTGTCAAGGGTGATGGGTGATGAGTTGACTTAGTGTTGTTTAAAATTGCTGTCAATTTTACATCTGTTTTTTTGACATATTCACTTCACATTGCCTAATACATTGATTTAGATATTTTATTATAGTAGAATATTAAAAAAAAAACAATACTATAACCTAAATGGGTCACATGACTGCCAAAAATTTAAAATTAACTTCTGAATGTTTTGTGGCAGTTATCCGAACCCATTATCTGAATTGATCCAATTACAATAGTAACCTACCTTGACAAAACAGATACAATTTGTAAAAGTTTGTTGATGTTTTACGGGCGAATAAGCTTAAATCAACACCAAATTTTACATTGAGCAAGATTAAAGCATATTTATACCGTAGACGACTCCTTCGAGTGGTTATAAACTTCATATCCAAGATAGACTATATAAAAAAAAAAATGGACAATTCAAAGATTATCCGACAGTTTTCTTATATAATTAAAATGTCTTGTTAGTTTTAATGTTAAAACATTAACAATTAAACTGACTGGCATGTGAAATTATTATGATTTAATTAATAGAAGTTGCTTTAGTTTTTTTTTTAAGTAAAAAATAACGTTATTTTTTTGTTTTCAAAAGAATGTTATAATTATATGATTATACTTTCATAACTACTTAATTCACCTAAATAAAAAATATAAGAAAAACAAAGACAAAACATAACGAAAAATTTTTTATTATTAAAATAAACAAAAAAACCCCAGTTATTTTCTAAATTCCTGATGCTTAAAGCCTATATTATGTTTCATCATATTTTTGATGTTAACGGTTCGATTCACAATAGTAAAACATTTTTAATGATTCCATACACATTACGTATACACAGAAAATAAAAACACACATACATCTTGAATATGTAATATGTAGGATGCAATTTTTATTTTTAAGGTATTTAAAGTTGAAATTTCAATTATAATTGCTTCTACTTGCTTTTTATTTCTAATAATTTTTCTATAGTATATCGCTTCAAGAGGTCCGGTATAAAATTAAGCATAATTTTTGCTGCTTTTTTTTGCTCAATGTGCAATAGCATATTTTTTTTTTTTTATTTTTCCTTCGGAACTTTAAACACTGTATATAATATACTTAATATAATTAATGATAATAAAAATAACACGAATAAGAAAACAAAAAATATAGAGAAAAAAAAAAACCTTAAAACAAAAGTTAATTAATTAATAAAAAAGATAGAAAAAAAGCGTTGGATACGGTTTATGAAAAATAAATCAAGCACACGAAAAAAAAATATTATGTTTTTTGTGTTTAGTACAATCAAACCACACATACGATTACAAACCATTTTTTTTTTTCATAGGTGCATTTTAGAAATGAAAAGTTAAAAGAAATTTTTCTATTAGATTTTTTTTTTCTTTTAATAAAGCATAATTACATTTCGCTTTTCATTTATGTATGCTCGTATAGTTGTTCTGTTTATTGCAATTGTTAACTTTTATATTTTAATTTTTTAGCATTTTTAATGCATTTCTGAACGCTATAATTACTTTAAAAAAAAAAAACAAGATTATTATTTTAACAATTATTTTTAATAAAAATTGAAATAGAAAGCGAATTATATTATAAAATTATTATTAATGTATATAGTGTAATTTAAGATTAATACAGAAAGAAATACTAAAATAACAATACAGTCTGTATGAAATATATGAAACTGTTATACAAGTATATGTACATAATAATATGTACATAAAAAAACATTTTAATTAAAAATTCTTTCAAGGCGAGACAACGTGATATTATACTAAGAAAAAGTTATCGAATTTCTAGCACTGCACATAGTCTAACTTATTATTAGTCGAAAAATTTGGTCTATCTTAGACATTCTGTTATAAATTAACAAAATGTTCTTCCTAACGGAATACTTTAATTAAAAAAATTGGTTTTACGCGTTTAAGAATGTGGTAACTTTCCTTTTTTTATAACATAAAAGAAAAATTTCCCATGATTTGACAACACTGGTATGGTACACATTCAAATAATTTGAGTATTATTTTGTACTATATTGGAATATTAGTTTTGATAAGTGTGAGAAATTTTTTCTAATTCTTCATTTTCATTAATTCTTATTAACACTTGAGTTAGAAAATTATTTATAATGACTAAATTTCTCAATTAACCATAAAAGATAAATTATACCATTTAGCTTTAGACTTAGATTATGTGGCATTTTTTTTTTTTAGAAAAGATTGAATTTAAAGTTGCATCATATAAGAATTTCAAAACATATAACAATTAAATAATTAATTTTGGATATAAATTTATCTTGTCTCAAAATTACTTGATTTTCATTTTAACATAAAAATTATTGTTTATTCAAATTTTATAGTATTTTAATTGATTTACATGAGAATACAAGAAAAATTTCCTTATTTCTGACGAAATAATAAAAATATTTTCTTGTGAAAACTATTGTTTTATAACTATATAGTTTTTTTTATATTTATATATTAATTTTGCAAATTTAATTCAAAAGAACTATAACTAAATGAAAAATATGAAAAAATTCCCATATAAAATTTATTTCACTCTTATTATCTTCTCCACTCTAATATTTCTTTAATAGTTTTTGTTTATTGCTCAAAAGGGAAAATATGAAATTTCTACTACGTCATAATTTTCAACTACATTTTTATTATTTTCTCTCCTAATACTCACCTAATTTTTGACAATTTCCCTTTTTTAATAAGTTTTAAAAATATTATTACAAATTACTTTCTAATTTTAGATGGTGTATACAATGATAATAACATTTATTATTCATCTTATGTTTTCAGATACTGTTAATTCATCATTACTGTTAAATCCGAAAAATTATTTTAGTTACTTATAATATATATCATAAAAACAAATTACATCTCATTATAATTACATCTTACTAAAAAAAGAAAGGTAAAAAAAAAAGATTCACATAAAAAAGAAAAATAACCCTAAATATAAAACGCATTAATGACGTAACTAATATTTCATTCATACAATACTAACAAAATAGTAACTAAAGAAAATAATAACTATAATAATAATAAGGAAAAAAAATTCATCGCAACTTGCACAACATATACATGCATGTACCTTAAAACTAACATCATATAGTTATTTCGGTACTCTTGTGTATGATGTCAAAATTGAAAAATAAAAAAACAAACATAGCAACATTATCATCATCATCTTCAACAATAACAACATTACCAACCTCAATACCAACAAAAATATCAACACCACCATTAACAGTTAAAGAAAAACGAAGATTACAACAAAGACGTAATAGCTCTTCACCAGTTACAAGAATTAATTACGAAACAAATTTATCATTTAGTAATAGAACTGAATTCACCATTACAAATCATACATTAACATCTATACCCATTGATACAAATTTAAAAAGCACAAATTCAACAACATCTTTAAATTCGGATATTATAACAAATTCACCAGGACAATTTCGTCGTAGTCGTATACCAGTAATAATAAATTCACCATCACGACATAATTCAAGACGTTCATTATCGGCGAGATTGCGCACTAATAATTCTACTAACAATTCAACAACATTAACAGCAGGAAAAACTAATACAACAGCAACAATAAATAATTCTGATTTATTATTATTTACATCTCCTCCAACATTTCGTAAACGTATAAGTTCTTCATTATCACGAGATTCATCACCAGGTGGTGTTAAATATTTTGGTGGTCATTATTATCTTAATAATAATTTTAACAGTTCTCACTGTTATATACAGCAACATCATTATCAGCAACAGCAACAACAACAACAACAACAACAACAACAGCAACAACATTTTTATAAACAACAACAATTAAATGAACAAAAACTGTTAAACCAATACCAATTGAAAAAACAACAGCAAATACAATACAACGAAAATAAAATTTATCAACAACAAAAAATTCAAAACGAATTTAAAGGATATTCATATAATATTAAAAATAATAAGAAGGGAAAACACGAAGTTATACTAACACAACATTTGAGTAAAAATTTAATTACATCAAGTATTGTAGGAATAGAAACTGAAAAAGAAAATCAAAATTTTAAAATAAAAGAAAATATTAAAGCTAATGAAAAGGATAAAATTAATATAGAATTTAGTGATTGTAACGATATCATTGAAATGAGTAGCACATTGAAATCGGATACAAATAATAAAATAGATAATAATAAAGAATTAACAACTGAATTAATAAATGAAAATAATACAAATAGTAGTGATATAACATCAAAACCAACAACAAATACGGAAACAGCAACAACAACAACAACAAAAACAACAGTATGTATAACAGAAAATACAGTTAATAATATGGCGTCTAAAATGGATGATATGAAGGTCATATCAAAAGATGAAGAAAATTTAATGAAAAATCAAAATGAAAAAAATATAGAAAATCTAGATGATATTATTAATAAAATTGATGAAACAATTATTAATACAACGACATTAATAATTAATAATGATAATAAAATAATACCAAATGGTAGTTGTATTGTTGAAAATCAAATTAAATGTCCAAATGGTTGTTGCCCTAAATCATCATGCAGTCCAATAAGTCCAATTGCTGAAGAAGCTGAAGAATCTGGTAATATATTATTAAATTGTGCAAATACTTTAAAAAAAGATAATAATAATATTACAACAAAAAATATTGTATGCTGTACAAATTCATCATCAACTGGTATTACTTGTACCTCATCAGGCGCTAAAACAAAACGTGATTCTGGTGGAATGGTAAGTGTAAACATTACAATAATAATTATTATTATACATATATATATATATAGATACATATATTGATATATATATAGATACATGTATTTATTAGTTATATTATCGATTAACGTTATTTTTCTTATCGTTCAATGCCCCACTTACCCTTTGATTATGACTATAATGTTTTTAAAATTAGAATTATAGAAATGTGATTTAAATAAATCCTTTTTTTTAACATTAAATTTAAAATATGTATATTTGTTCGTATAATAGCTAAATAATACATTCATATTTAGATATTCTATGTTAATAGGTTCAATATTAGAAATAAAAAATACCTTTTTAACCTTGACATAAAATCATCATGTAATTAAAAAATTTATTATGTAAATTATTTTAGATAAAGGCTCTTAAAATTATTATGTAAGTATATAATTTTTTTTGTATAATTCCAACAATTTTAATCTAAAATTATAATATTAAAAAACCATTTAAAAATATTTGGAATATTTCAATATAAAAACATTTATAATGCAAAAATGTAATTAATTTTGAAGGGCATGACAAAGTTCAATACTTCAACCTCAATATTTATCAAAAATTATTGACAATTAATTATAACATTAATCAAGTTTGACAATTTAATTACGAAAATATTTCGATTATACAAAATTCGATTCTTAAGTGCCTAAACTATTTATAAAAAAATAAGTAGCTATAACAGCTCTGAAATTTTGCTAAAAGTTAAAATTTCAATTTTACTACTAATAATTTACTCGCATGAAATTCTTTAGGAAATTCTTTAAAAATGAAAAATTCTTACACTGTTTATTTTAAAAACTTGTTTTAAATTTTTGTTATCGTTGCATAATACAATGCCGTTTTAAAAATTTGCTCTCATGAGCTACATAAGTCAAAATATGTAAAATGTATACAACATATACACAACCATAAATTGTTATTGACAAAAATTATCATGAGAAAGATAATTAATGAGAAGGCAAATTTTTTAATTAAATAATTTCTAAAATTTATTTAAATAACGGCAAATGGTTCAGGATCCATTTATCATTAAACTTTTACAAAACTGAATTGATTATTTTGGGTAGCATTGAAAATTTATAAAAGGCAGAGTATCGGTTTTTGGGGTGGTTTTGGATTTTCATTTTCCACATTTGGACACGAATGTAAAATTATTTAAATAGCTGAATTAGTTTCTAAAATAAAATTATTAAAAAATATGATAAATTTAATCATAAAACCATAATAAATTATTTTCATTTTTTTTTTCATTTCCCTATATTTTTTTCATTAGCGCCATTTTTCATCAAAATCAAAAAAGAGAAAAAAAATATTTTATTTTACAACTTTTTTATTATTTTTTTTTGTTATTTTGTTTTTAACATTTTTATTGATTTTTCCTATTCTTCTTTACTTTTAGAATAAAATTTATGTTGTAATTCCTTTTGAGTTCACTATTTAAAATATTTCTTTTTCTTTTTTTTTATTTTCATATTAATTTCTCTTTTTCTCTTTCATTTACATACATTATATCATTATATACTTACAAATATACTCAATTTAAATATTGTTCTGATGTGGCAGGCAGAGCGATAAGAATATGAAGAAGAAGAACTAGAATAAATTATAGGAAAAGAATATTATCCATGTATAGGAAACGGAATAGGTTAGGGTGAAATTTATATAGAAACCGGAAGAAATAGTAATAATAAAAAGAAAGAAACAATAAATTTTTGTATTTTACAAATACGTTTTCATAATTCTGGTTTTTTAGAAAATGTTTGTCCGTCATTTTGTATACGGTATTTAAATTTCATTAAGAAATTTAATTTTAATTTGCTATACATTCATATTTTCTGTTCTATCATAGTTTTCCTTTTCAAATTCTATTATGCGAAATTTCTAATATTTTTTTAAATAATAATCGAGTAAGTTTAAATTTGATTTGTGTAATCATTTAAAATTTATTGCAGTACCATCAAAGATTTCTGAATATGGTAAATTGGGTATAGGTAAATTTATTAAATTTCAATTTCATATCAGAAAATATTACGTATAACTAACTATACGTAACTAAAAATACTAAACTAAAAATTATTAAAAATATTAAATGTTAAGGGAAATTAATATTTATAGCATATAGCAAAAATATTCTGTTTGGAATATAATATTATAAAATTCACACAATCTTATTTTACGTCTTGCGAAATGAAGACCTTCCATATGTATACATAACTGTTATATAATTGTGTTATAATTCATGTTAAAAATATATAACATTATATTAATTTACTGTAGTGAACTCGCAATTCCGAGGACATTTGACATTCGTTATGCTCTTAATTAATTATTATTTAAGCTTATTCTAATGTTATTCAAATAATTTATTTCTGCAATATAACTAAAATTGTATGGAGTACTTATAGATTTCGCAGCCTATCTTTTAACACATATTATTATTATAACACTAATATATTTAAGGAATATTAAATTTCATATTAAAAAATTTTATTATAGGTAATTTAAACAATGATAAAATTCTTTTCTTCAATTCACCTCTATAATATAAATTTACAATTTTTAAAGAACACTAAAAAATATGGTGGAAATTCAATACTCTCTTTGGTCTTTATATATCTCTATAGTAAAGATATGTGTGTGTTTAAAATTAAACATTCATTTTCATATTAATTTTTATTTCTTTATTTTCTTTGTTTTTCTTTGCTCGTCTTTTGTTTTTTTTTTACATATTTTGCCATTTCTGTGCCATCATCAAGGAAAGTCGTTGGCATATAGTATACAATAACAAAAAATGAATAAAATAAATCTTTTATTCAGCTGGTGATTACATATATATATATATATATATACATAGGTGTTAGCTGAGTTTTAAATTATGTAGAATAGATTATATATATATATATATGTATAAAGTACCTGTGTTAAAAATATGTACTACAATATGTGAAATATAAGAGCATGTATATAGGTTATATAATTGTGAATATAAATTCTTTAAATATTTAGTACCTGCATTTTTCACACTGAAAAATGTATACATAATGGTATTGTAGTACCTACTTACTATGTGAGTGGAAAACATAAAAGTTGCAATATGAAAATTATTTATAATTGTATATTGTATACAGGTACATTGTTGTTACAATTTGTTAATATGGTGTAAATTTCACAATTCATATATTTTTACTCGTATCACTCATTTATTTTGCATTTGTATACAAGGAAACAAATACAGAGCGTTCAGAACTCAATGGTATTTCCAAAGCAGGGATACAGCTCATTAGTATATATACTCAAATAACAGAAAAAAATATTGGCGTTTTTCGTCTTTTCATGGAGTTTTTCGACCTTGGATCGTTCCATTTTAACACTTTATCTAGATATGTGTCAGAGATATGTTAGATATAGGCTCAATTTGCTAAATTCATTTTACATCCCATGAAATTTATATTTTATATCAATATAACTCCATCAATGGTGATATACATAGGTTGAAGACTTTTTGACGAAATAATTACGGAATTGCTATTTAAAATTTTTAAGACTTTTGTTTTTCTGTTTTTTCTTTTACGCATTAAGTAAAATTTACTGTTCTGTTCTTCATTTTCATTATGTCATGCAACGTAAAATTCAAATCACTGAAAATAAAATGATGACAAAAAAAGAATCATTGCATTTTTAACATAAATTTCCAAGGCCCTTTTTCCGAAAATCTATTGCACCTCGATACACCCTGTAAAATATAATTTTACTTATGTATACACATTATGCATATACATTATATGCATTAATATACGCTATATACTCAAGGCATAAGAATATTTTAATTCTAATTCTCTGTTCAAAAAATGAGGGGGTTCATAAAGGCAAAAGAAAAATGTCCCTAAGGGAAATCTACCCCATAATATTTTCATTATTATTTTGTTTTTTTCTTTCGTCTTTCTCTGTGTTTTTGGTTTTTTTTTTTTCTCTTAAATATTATACACACCAGTCTTGTCTAGGTCATTGAGTGTTGTGCACATAAAATAATAATAATCTGTATTAAATATTATAGTGATTTTTTATATGTATGTAAGTACATATACATACATACATTGGTTGTTCTTTTTTTAAGGTTTTTTTTTTATTTTATTTTCTAAACAATTCTTTATACATACAATATATAAGTACATAATTTGTAACACAATAAGTTTTAACTTTTTGAGGTTGTGAAACAAGAAAAACAAAAAAAAAAAGCAGAAGCAAAAATTAATTTTTTTTTTTTATTCTTAAATGATGTTTTCTTAAGAACTTTGTCTAGTATTTGAAGTGGTCTAAAGAAGATAATTTGGATTATTACAATATTTTGTTATAGTACGTAAATAGATGGAATAAATCGGAAAAAGAAAATCATTAAAAAGAGATTTTTGCAAGGGAAAACTAAAAAGCAAAAAAAAAAAGGAAAATAAATTTCACCTCAACACAATTATTTTATTATTAATGAATCACAAGTTTTTATTCTAATGTGGTGAAAACAAAAAAACAAAAAAAAAAAACAATTTTATTTGAAAAGTGTTTTGATTTCTTTTCATTCAATATCAAATGTGTTAAAAAAGGAAAGGTAAATGTAATTTTAAGAGGAAATACTTTTAATATTATGAATTTTAGATATATAGGAATGGCACATAAGACAGGAAATGAATTAAAGACCACTTTCACATTTTTTCGTTTTTTCATTATTGTATTTGTTTTTTTTTTTTTAAAGTGAATTAAAATGAAATTTTTAAAGAAAACAAATAAACAAATAATAAAATAATTAATTAAAAAAATTTTTAATTAGATTTTGTTTTCTATAATTAAAGTATTGTTTTAAATTACTTATATATATATGCATATATATATAACACAAAAAAAAATATTAGTATTAATAAAATATATTGAATTTTAAATTATTAATACCTACTTATACTACACACATAAAAATTTATAAAATTCAATTTTGCAATTCACTTTGAAAAATTTTTGTGTGATTTTGAAATTTTTTACTCTCATTTATTTCATGTTTTATTCTACTTATAACAATTTATATATATATGTATATAGTATGAATAAAAAAATTGCATAATAAAAGTTAAATTTTGAATTCATTTCCGCATTTTCCAAAAAATCAAGAAAAAATAAAGGAAAAAAAAATACAAAATCCAAATGTCGAAACACAAGTATTATATGGAAACCGAATGAATTAATTCGGTGTTTGTGTAACAAACAAATTAAAATTGATTTTTTTTTTCGGTTCGATTTTTTTTCTTCAATCAAGTATAAAGCTGTGCCAACAAAATTTTTTTTTTATTGCACTCAAATAATAATTCATATGTAAGACACCTATATACTTTTATTAGTATATAGGTAATATATATAGGGTACCAGTACCATTATAAAACAAAATAAAATTTTTTTTTACAAATATTTTTCTCTTTTAATTGAAAATTTTTTTTCTTAATTAATATTTTTTTTTGTTCATAGTTATATTTTGTTTGTTCGGGGGTAAGTTAACTCGCAAAAATTTGAAATAGAAAATTCTAAATATCTGATTTGGTTAGTATATAATATTTAGGTAAAGGTGTGTCTTTTCGAAGGTAATATGAATTTTTTTTTTGTATTTTATTTTAAAACGAAAAACATGTGACAACCATATATACGAGTACAAACAATAATATGTGAAAATTATTGAAATTATTTCTTTTTTAAAAAATTTTTTTTTTTTTTAAATTGAAAAATCGATTAAAAAACCAACTAACATTGTATATGTAAAAATATAAAAGCATAATAATAATAATAATAATGTGCAATTGTACAAGGATTTTTGAAAAGAATAATATGCATATTACCTTGGCAAAAGACTTTATATTTTCTGTTTAATAAACTGAAAGCAAAAACAATATTAATAATAAATAATTTTCCAATAATACTCTATTAGTGCAAATCGTTTTCAATGATGGTACACTTCGTCTTACTATGAGAAAATGTTTCTTCTTAACAAACCTAAAAAAGTAAAAAATTATAAATATTTAAAATAAATTTGTAAAAATTTTTTAAAATTACAATTACTAATTTAAATTTATTTATTAATTTTTTTAGACATTAAATCTGAATGCACCATCGACATCGAATGCAAATAATAATAGTAATAATAATGCTAGCACTTCGATGAAATCACGTACACCAATAACGCCAAAAACTCCGCATACACCAAAAACCCCATCAAGATCAAATTGCAGTCCATCTTCATCAACAAATCATAATAAAATTACACCAAAAACTCCACCAGTTACACCAGATTCATATAATACATATATAGATGACGATTTAGATTCTGTTTACAGTTATAGTTCGGGCAGATCAACAATGTCTTGTGATCATCCTTATGTAGCAAGGTAAATCAAATTAATTTTTTTTTTTTTAATTTCAGAATTTTTCAAAATTAATAATAATTTTTATTTTTCATTTTTTTAAATGTGTCGTTTTAGGAATGGAACAACATTTAGTGGTAGAAAAATGAAATATGTTGTTCATTGTTCTGCATATGCTGGTCAAGTTGGTGATGATTATTTAACACCAACACAACGTGCTCAAAGGCAATTAAGACGTTTAAAAGAACTATTAACACAGGCACGTCAAGATTTAGAACAAAAAGATTCTGAATTATTACGTTTAACACGTGAAGTTGTTGAATTACGTTTATTTAAAGCATCATTAAGTTCACCAGAAGATCCATCAAATTCAAGTGATGCAGTTACTGTACGTGAAGCACCAACTGATTTAAAAACATCACAAGATGTATCACCAATTGTTGATACAATGATGTTAGATGATGGTATAAAATCAAGTCCAAAACATGTATTATTTCATCATGGAGGAAATTCTGGTAGTGGAAATTTACATCATCATCATCATCATATTCATCATCCATCTCATATTAATAATTATAATATTGGTTCTGGTGGTGGTAATAGTAGTAGTTCATCATCCCATCAAACATCAACAAATTATTTGGATAAAATATCAAATTCTGAAATGCAAAGTTCATTTGCTGATTCCGGTCATTTTGAAGATATGACAACATCACATTCAACCCAAGATCAAGCATGTGGTAGTGATAATAATTTAATTGAAACATATGAAGAACAGAGAGCTGAATTAATAAGATTGTATGAGAAAAAAATTGAAGAATTAATTAAAAATCAAGATGATGCAACTGGTGAATTAAAAAAATCACATAATGATCGTATTGAAGCATTATTACAAAAATTAGCTGATATTAATACTAGATATGCTGACATTGTACCAGATTATGAACAAGCAAAAGAAAAAATTCGTGAATTGGAAAAACAATTAGAAGATTTACAACAAAAATTATTGGAACATGAAGAAACACAAAAGAAAATGTACTTACATATGTATCAAAAAGGTCAGGAAGCTGAAAGAATTGCACGTGCTGAACAGGTATTATATGATATTTAAATATTTTATATTTTAGTTTTCTAAATTGAAATTATTTTAAAAAGATTTTAAGATATTTTTGGATTAAAACGAAACAAAAACCCAATACAAACCATATAAAATATTTTTTAAAAATTTTATATAATTTTGCATATATTTAGAATGATATCTTATTGCTGAAACAGCACACTACATATTTTTCTTCTTGCAATTTCCCTTCTATTCTCTATTATTTTTATTAATTTTTTTTTCTATTTTAAAATTTTAGATAATGGAAATAGCGCATAGGCAACCAAATCGTGTATCAATACCAGAATTACTGCAACAATTACAGAGTACACAAGACGAATTAGAAAATATTAGGGTAAGTTTCCCATTGTTGTCAATGTTCCTATTATTTATGTTGCTAACAATATTTGATGTTGCTTTATGTTGGTATTATAAATGATATGTCAATATATTCTTGTTTATTCTTATTTTATATATTGTATAATTAAAATATAATTTACATATAGATGCATACGTATATACTTACGTAAATGTATAATATATTTGTATACAAATTCATTTATAAATTTAACATTTTATCATGGTTTTTATTTAATTTTTGCTTTTGTTTTTCGTGTTTTTGTTTCAAAATTTTGTTTCAAAATTTAAAATATAAAATTATAAAAATAAAATATATTATTGATTTTTGTATAAAACATTTTTTTTTATTTAAATAATCGAAATTGCAATATTTTATTTGTTAATTTTAATTAAATTTTCTTTTTTTTTTTCTTATAAATTGATTTATTTTTTGGAATATTATTATTATAAAAATTTTAATTGGAAATTTATTCGTTTTTTGTTTTCGATATTTTGTTTTTAATTCATTATTATAACATTTTATAAATAAGTTTTGCAATATCATAATTAAATATCATTTACAATGGTTTTCATGATTATAATTTTATTATATATGATATATATAAAGAAAATTGGATGAAATATATTAAATTTTTATTTTGGTAAAATGAAATTTTTAGTTTTATTTCAGAAAACAAAAAAAAAAAAAATCGTGAGATTTTACGTTATAAAGCCTTTAGTATGTATTTCGATCAATTATTTAAATGTAGCGAAACAAAGTCTATAATACGTTCTTCCGTTGCGAAATATTTTAAATTTAAAAATTCTTCATTGTGAATGCATATTATAAAAGCAATTGAAGTTGACATTTGTATTTTTATTCGTCAATGACATTTGCTTTTCGTTTAGCGTTATATACATACCGAAGGCTAATATTATATTTTCCTTTAAATTGAAACAAAAAACTTTTTGGTTTATTTTTTTTTTATTTTAATAAAATTTATGTTTCCTTATTTTGATTATTTCTGTCACGGTATCTATTTCATCAACACTGCCATACCTATATTCAGCAACATTTTTCATGATTCGAATGTGCACTTTAAAAATGTTAAAAATTGAAATATAATTTTATTAAAATTATAAAATATTAATTTCAAATTTTGAATTTGAATACAAAGTACATTATATATATTGGAAAGATTTAACCTTTATGACATTTTTTTTGACACATTTTGTACTGATTAAACTTTACTCATAAAATAATATTGAAGGAAAATTATGAGAAAAATTTTTTATTCCTGTTTGTGAATTTATTTTTTAAAAGTACTTTAAATATCGGAATATGTACTTACTACATTTATTTTGACAACGGACTGAATTTAAATATTGAAATTGTACAAGTAGTGTTTTAAATGTGTATATAATTTGAAAATAAAATAAAAAGTTTATAATTAAATAGTAAATTACATTCATTAAAAATTATTTATTTTTAGCTTAGTTTGCAATTTAAATTGTTCCACACGCAGTTAAATTTAAAAAAAAAAGTTTAAAATATTAAAATGGAATTTTAAGCGCTAATAATTTTAGTTTGTCATATACTTTTGTTGTTTTATTTGTTTTTGTATTTTAAATAAATTTTAGACAAACCTGAATTATATTAGCACTTTTTTAGAATATGATAAAGTAAGTAATTGAAAAAAATATAAAATTTTTAATTTAATAAGTATTATAATATTATAAAATATAAAAAAAACACTTTTGCCTTGAAATTTGTGAGAAAACACTTCAAAATTGGTATTGGTCCTCATTTATCATTATATAATTTATTTTAAATTTACTTTTACTAAAAAATACAAGAACTTTAATTAACAAAAATTCTGACACATTAATGAGCTCTATAAAAATAACCTTTAAGTACTTTTTTTTATATTTAATATTAATAAAATTTCATGTTGGCAATTCTCACTAGAATTTCACTGACGCAAACCACAATTTATTCCAACACAATCCTTTGATTGAATTTAATTTGACTGAGACAATAATTGTCACACCTAAATTTTATTTTCACTCAATTATAATTTGACAGTTTTAATTAATTTCTTGTTTGACAATATTAATATGACGAAATAATTATACAAGATTTCAATAAAAATTTTTTTAAAATTAAATTAAAACATACATTAATTAATATGAGAAGTGTTTTGATCTAACTAATAAACTATTATACAATATAATAAATTTTGTAAATATAAAATATAATCCCAAATATACAATATAACTAATTTTATATAAATAATAAAAAAAAGAAGAAGAAAATTGAAATAATTTAATTTTAATTTGTAGAAAAGTTTGAATTTTAAATAATTTTAAATTTTGTAATTATATTTCTATAAATAATTGCAATATAATATATAGTGCCTTTTTAATATTTTATTCAAGTTTAATTTTTTAATAATTAATTAATTTTAATATAAAAAGAAGAAAAACAATAAAATTTTTTTTCTCCTACCTATTTGTTTTTTGATTTTGTTTTTGATTAAAATCATCGTATGTTTTTTTTTGTGTATTTCAATTAAATTTCTTATAGGTATGCAACAATAGAGAAAGAGGTGAATGCGCTCTTCTAACAGCAAAAGAAGCTATATCGTTATGGGTACTTGGCGCGAGGAAGGTTTGTAATTTTTTCAAAGTAGTTTTTTTAAAGAAAACTATTTCAATACGAAAAAACAATTATAAATTAACATTATTGAAATGCACGAATTATTTAATAATATTATTTAATTTTATTTTTAATAATTATTTTTTTAATTATAATTATAAAAATAAAAGAAAATTTTATTCAAATTTTGCCTCGCGTCAAAATAATATTATATTTTTATTTAGATTAATAAATTTTTCACGATTTTTTTTATAATTATCATTATCATATAATTATTATAGTATATTGTTTAAGTATTAATATATAAATATTAATTTTATGGGAAAAATTATATAATTTTTTAAGATTTAATATAAAATTTTAATGTTCTTGTACAGTTTTTCATACATATATAAAAAATATTTATTGCTATTTGTAATTAAAAATTATTATAATAATAATAATCATAATCATTTGGAAAAGAAAATTTATTTAAAATAAAATAAAGCTATTATTCAACTATTATATAAACATATTTTTTTTATATAGATATATATATATTATATGTATAACTAAACTTACTCATATTTTTACATAATACATATAAACTTTTATTTAATAATAATTAAATACAGTATTAAGTATAAAAAAAAAATATCATTACGTGTTTTTCATTTAAAATGATCGTTTTATTCATTTTTTAGCTTAATTCTTGTTTTGCATTGTTGTATATGAAAACCATACATACATATAATTATACATTCATGTTATATTAACTGAAGGGGTAATTTTTTTTATGTCATTTCAAATATAATCGACTTTCCTTTAATATAGTGTCTAAAATAGAAATTTTCCATTGTATATACATAAAAAAATCTTAAAATCTCTTAAAAAAAAGACATTATTAAAGTATAATTTGTAGAAGTACTAAAGAATCTATATACTTCTTAAATTTAAAACAAATTAACATTGTTTAGTTGAATATTAAGTAGAAGATACGAACGAATGCACATATGTACATACATAACATATATTAAATTGAGAGTGGAAATACTAACGAATTTGTATACTATACGCATTAGAATATTCTCATATTAAAATAAATAATAAAACTGTACTAGAAATAAAAGACATTTAATTCTGTCAAAAATTCTTTACAGTACGTACAAAGTACGTTTTATTGTAGTAATAATCTCACATTACATTTTTGCACTCATTTTATTATTACAATAAAGAGAATACAATTTTGACATTGCTATTTCGTTTTGCATAAAATTAGACGTGTGTTTAACATGAAAGTATACCCTATAGAAAATTACAATATTCTAGACATGAAAATTTTACTGTTGAAAGTTAAAAAAACAATAATAACATTACATTATAATTGAATGAAATTTCAATTAAAATTCGAATTACAATTCCTATTATTACAAGTACGCACTTACCTTTAATTACTTAATACGTTAAAAACGGACTTTGTACAAATTAAGATCGTATCTGGCTTTAGAACCTGTTTTAAATTTTTCCTGATGATATGAGGATCATTTCAAATATTTCCTTTTCATTCATGATTCTTTAAAAATTTACGACAGAAAAAGTACATATAACAACAATGTGACATTGTAAATTCCTAAAAAATATAAAAATTAAATAAAATTCGAATATTGTCGATTATATTTCAAAATAAAAAAGCACATGTAAAATATTAATTTTGTAAATGAATTTAATGAAAAAAAAAAATAAAAAAATTTCTTATAAGAAAAAAATCTCTCTATTTCTCTCTTTTTTTTTTATTTTTCTCTATAATTTTAGACAATCTATCGGCGTTTAATTGAAGCTCAACAAAATAAACAAAAAGTTGATCCAGAAGTAACATTGCAGTTCCTTAAGAGCGCTATTTATTATTTTTTAACTGATAAAGAAAATTCACAAGGACATTTGAATGCAATCGAAAGTATTTTAGAGTTTTCTGAACAAGAAAAAGAAAAAATTCATAGAGCACGTACATCGAAATAAATTTATTATTTACATTGTATAAGTTGTTTTACTATATATTCTTATATATACAAATTTTTATTCAAACGAAAAAATACACAAGTTTGAAATAATGAAAACTAGTAAAAAAAAAATTACAGCGCTATCATAAATTTGTAGTTCAAAATTTTAAGAGTAAAAAACAAAAAAAAAATTGTAGTACCTAAAAATTATAAAATTTATTTCATCTTATTGAAAAAAAAATTTAATTAATTAATACATAAATAATTAATTATCATCAAAATGATAGTAAAAATCGCGATAAATTAAAATAGAAAAGAAATGTTTGTTGCAAAATAAAAAAACGAATCAAAATTATCTAAATTATTATTAAACACATATATTTAAAAAAATTACATGCTAAAAAAAATTTAAAGAAGATGAACTCAAAAGTTATTTAGTATAGAAAAAATAAAATATAAAAATTTAAATAAAATAATATCTATACAATGGTCTATATTATATTCTAAACGGGAATCGGGTTCTACAATGATTACACAATACAATAGTCAGTAACGTCACTGATCACTTGTTTATATTTATGGCAAAAGAATAAATAAAAAGAAATATAATAATTAAATAATATTATAAATTTACTAAACTATATAATTTTTGAGTGAGTTATATATATATATACATATTTCATAAATACAAAAATTATATCCTATTGAATAAAAATACTAAAATATTTAAAAAAAAAAAAACAAAATATTTACTATATTTAAAAAAAAAGCATGACATTATTTATAAATTTTGTACTACTTTTGTTTTATTACATTCCTTTCATAATTATTGTCATTTTCTGTAAAAAGTACTATTTCTTTATTATTTTAATAAAATATTTGTCAGTTTGTACAGAAAATAGTACAATTACTTTCTATTATTGCAATTTCAAATAATTGACAATTCAAATAATTGACAATTGATTTTTGTTTACTTTTAATTAAAAAAAATTTTTTTATTTTTAAAAATTATTTTAAAAAAATGCCTTTTTCGATAAGATATTTAATGAATACTGAAAATTATAGATAGTTGAGCTAATAAAAAACAAAAAAATAATATAAAAAAAGAAAAAAATAATGAAATATGTAAAATGAGAAATTTTTTGAGAATTGTATTAGGCTATGTAAAATAATAGATTATTATTATTTATAGAGAATGCACTGTAAGAAAACACAAAACAAAAATATGAAAACAAAATTAAATAAAAGTAGTTGTACTAAAAACAATGCACCTTTATCAAAATAATTTCAAAAAAAAAAAAATTGAATTAAATAGGTGAAAAATACTTGCTAAGTTGTTAAAAATTGAAAAATTTTTTGCTAAAAATTTAGATTTGTTAGAAAAAACACGAGTGAAATGTGAATTTTAAATGAAATTTTGTCCTAAAGTAATTTAAGAAAAGAAAAAAGAAAAATGCTGGTGATAAGTTTGCTATTTAATTTTTTTTTTATTAAATTTTAATAACGAAAAGAAAATGTACCTATACCTTTACATATATACAAATTTTTATATATATACATATTTGTTCATAATATAGCAACATTCACTTATTTACTTAGAAACTGCAATTTCGAAATTATTAAAATATATTAATTTAAAAATATTTTCAATATTTGAGTCATCAAAACTCAATCATAATTGAAATTCTATATGAAAGTTTTTTTTGTCAAGTCAAATTTGTTTTGACAGTCAAAATTTATTTTGTGTTAAACGTCAAATTGAATTAAAGCATTAAATTTAAAATCAAAATTTAAAATTCAAAACCGAATGAATACAAAATCAAACACAAATTAAAAATAAAAATTAACAACATATTTTCTAAACCAATTTATATTAATAAACCAAAATATTAATCTAAATTTAATAAATTCGAAATTGGTCAAAAAAAATATACATATATTTGAATTAAAAGTGAATTATTCTATGAATAAGTATGTATATATATAAATGTATGTGTGCATACCAAATGGTGACTATTCATATAATATATTTAGATATCAGAAGCAAAAATTGTAGTAAATAAATATAAATTAATATTTTTTATTAAATTTTCATTATTTATTTTAAAAAATAATATATTTTTATATTCAATAAAAATAATTGTTTTCATTCCGATTTTAAATTTGCAGATTCAAGTTTTCTAATTTTATTTTCAATTACAGAAGTTTATAAAACTTCATCTTGTTTAGTTTCTGAAATATCGTCAAAAATAGTAATTTTACTACACTGAATCTAAATTATTTTTGATACAACTTATTAATATTCATAAATAATTTCTAATTTAATTGTTAATTGCTTCTGCTCTTAATATCTTCTCTTATTTTGTATATTTCTATCACTAAAAGATGGCGGAGAAAAATTGTGACGAAAATTTTAAAGAGCAAGAAAACCGTCCAAAGTATAAAATGAAAAATTTATAAAGAAAATATTATGCAATAGTATTTTTTTTTTAAGTTGTTTTCATTCTGTTTTTTTTTTCAAAAAAACACATGATATGAAATTTAAATAAAATAATTATAAAATGTAGAATATACACGCAATTGTGTATAAACTTAAATGATAAAAATTATAAATACAGTATAAAAATATTCCGTCTATTGTTAGAAAAAATTTTTTTAAAATACAATATGTAATTAAAATATTTTAAAATAAATAAAAAATTACAATTTAAATTTTGAATTTTGAAATTTGAAAATTCAAATGATTTTAAAATGAATGATTTTTGGAATATTAAATGTTAAATGCAGGGAGTGTATAAGTATAAAATGAAATAAAATATTTTGCGAACGCTATTTATTATTAAATATTTTAATAAAATAATTTTAAAAAAACAATTCATTTTCTCATAATTTTATTTTTGGTACAAAGTTAAAGTTATTCTTAAAAAATATTTCTTAGAAATTTTCAAAATGAATGAAATAAAGGTATATTTTATAGAATATATTATAGTAAAAACAAAATGAAAATAAATTTTAAATTTTGAAATTTTATTTAATTTTTATTTTGATTCTAAATTTATATTTATAAGAAATTAAAATTATACAAACATTTACTTTATTTTTAATATCATAAGGCAAATTTTATAAAAATTATAATTATTCTTTATTTCATTATATGGTATTGATATTATTTTATAAAAACAAAATTAACTAAAGTTAAACATATATTTCGTTCAATTTGAAATTCGAAAAAATTCTAGATTGTAAAATTAATAAATCAAAATATAATTATACAATTTAAATAACTTACTTAATTTGAAAAAAAATAACAAACAAAATTTTGAAAGAAATATGATAATTTTTGGCTGTTAAATAAAGAGAGAAAAAAATATAAGAGCACTTGAAATAAAATTCGAATAAAAATTTCGAGAAAAAAAAAACAAAAATATAAAAAATGTTTAAAAAACTTGTTTTAATTGTCTCTTAATTTGCTTGCTCATATTGAACATTGCTGTCAATCAATCGTGTTGAATTTAGCACATTTACTATCGTTTTTTCATTTTGTCTTATGTAGGATTCTGTCGTTAACTTTAAAAAAAAGATTTTTTTACTACTTTTGATAAAACACTTCTTCCTGTTCCCATCCCTATCTTAAGAATGTGATGTCGTTTTTATTCTGTTTACCCCCTGTCGGTAAAACAAAAAAGTATATGAGAAAAAATAACATCATAATGTACAAAATTTATATGAATCACTCACTCGAAACAAATTTTTGAACAGTAAATTAAAATTACAAATTTCGATATTAAAAAAATCGATTATGCAATGCAATACATTTACTATGGTTTGTGAAAATACTAACCTATGTACAAAAATGTCAGGGAGCTTTATTTAAAATAAAATTTTCAAAACAAAAATTTGAAAACAATTCTTTAATGTTCATTTATTATTGGTAATCCAAATACAGCTTCATTAATCCAATTATATTTATCATTTTTTCGTTTATTTAAATTAGTTACTATTTTATCACTTTTTATAATATCAACATTATTATTACTAAAATCATTTTCCGGTATATTTTCATTTATTTTATTGGAATTTTTATTGTTATTATAAATTTTATCATTTAAAGAATCTCTTTTAGTATCACTTTCAGTATCAGAAATTTTTCTTAATTTCCATAAATTTAATTTCAATTCTACATCAGAATTTTGTCTTAAAATATCAGCGATTTCATTGGTTTCATCTTCATTATAATTTTGTGAATATATTCCCATAAAATCTGGATTATAATTAACTTGATGATTAGATTCAAGATTATTAAAAGAATAATCTAATTTTCCCCATTCATCAATTGTCATAGGTTGATTGATACGTTTATTGTAAAGATTATAGGGTGAATTGACGATCGGATCATTTTTCAAATTCTTTTTAATATATTCAGGCCATTTACCCTTTGCAAATGGTCTTTCTCCATTTGTTGAAACAATAAACATTCCTTCAGTGTTTGTATTACAATTTTCACCAGCTTCAAACAAATTATTTGTTGGAGGACATAAACCTAATAAATAACTAATATATGATGAACATGGCCAACCCCAAAAATTTTTAACACTTCGAATCGATTCTGTATAATAATCAGCTGCTCTATGATGACTACATGCAAATGGATCTGTTAAATAAAAAAAAACATTGTTAGTTATTTTTGAGGATTTAAAGAATTTTTATAAAACAATACTATTTTCACATCCTGGCTGTATTATTCCACCATTCATATAAAAGTCAGCATGACCACATCTTTCAATTTTACCCTGAACAAAAGCGTTTGTATGAAAAGCATCAACAAAGGCTGCATCACTTGAATCCAATTTATTATCTTTGGAAGCTGTTATAAATAATGGCATTGCAGGATCTAAACCAGTTATACGTGGTATTATAAATGATCCAACATTTTGTGCAACATAATTTGGTACATGAGCTCCCAATGAAAATCCAATTAAATGAATATTTGCAGAACCTTCATCTAATATTCTTTGTACTAATTGACCTATACAATTTCCTGCATGACGTGTATTATGAACTGCTGAAAAATAACATGGACCGGTTGCAAGAATACTCCAATCAACATAAAATAAATTATAATCTCTTATTTGTAAGTATTCTGAAAATAAAATTATATTAAATTTATTTAATTTTTAAAGCTATATATAATATTTGTCTGGTATACAAAACGAACCTTCTTTCATTGATATTAATGGACCCAAATACATATCTGAATTATAACCATGAATTATAATTTTTGTTGGATTCCTTGGATTAAAGAATGATTCAGATAAATTTGATTTGCTTTTAGTTTCATCAATATGTATAAATTGACGATCATGTCTATTACTTCGAGTAAATAAATAAAATTTAATATCAGTATCTGGACATGATCTATTTATAACCCAAGTGCATGGTCCTATTGTAATACTATTTCTTGGTGCTCTATTATTGATTAAAGGATAATCACCTGAATTATTTGAATTCACAAAATCTACAAAATAAATTTTAATTAATTTAATAATAAAATTCAAATTTAATAAAAACTAATCTCTGAAAAGTTCTTAAATCTAATATCCAAAAAATTGTTATTTTTCAATAAGATAATTTGAAAATATTTGAAAAGTGCACTGAATATTTTGCACTCTATTTGTCACTTTTAAAATAGAGTTGTCAAGTTCGAAAAATTTGAATTTTTTTTCAAAAACTTTTAAACTAATTTTATATAGTCTAATATGTAAAACTTCTTTAAAATATAAAGTTTATTATATAGTTTTATAAAATAATATTCATATTATTGCCAATTATTAATAAAAAATGCACAATTTTTACATGTTTAAAATATTATTGAACTTGCATATTTTAATAAAATACATTGTAATGGGGGTTTTTTTTGTTTTGCTACTTGCTTTTTAGGTTTTAACCACAATTGTTAATGCAAAATCGGTGATCAAATGATATCACGTTTTAGATTTATTAATTTTTTTGTGAAAATAAAATGTTTTAACACCTCTGAATTATTGTATTTGAGAGTATGTCAAATCTCTTGTTTATACATATAATATACTGGCCTATTATTTGATTAATAACTTTATATTCAATAAAGCTATAATCAAATAATATAAATCAGGCGGAAATGTACGAACAACTATATCCAAGTTAAAACATTTTAAAGTTAAAATTCACTATATGAAACATATAGTTGTGATGTCAACATCATTTTATATGGATTCATTTTTGCATATTGCAACGAAGTCATCGTTTTAAATTAAAATTACTATGAAAATTAGCAATTTTTCTGAATTATACTTTAAGTTTAAGAAATAAGTGTTTAAAAGAAAATCACCCATTATATTCCCACTTCTAAATTAAACACATATAAAATTAAAACACTTGTTTATTATGAATTTTATATAATATAATTAAAAAAGTCATTTGATTTGCAAATTATATTTTTAATAATTTTGTTATAATTGAATTTTAAACAAGTTCAAATTGCAAAATCTTAAATTATTGCAAATCATTTTATACTCGTATCTTTAACAAAATTCACTGATAGTTTCTTAATCACTTTATGAACTATTTTTTTTTCAAAAACAAACTCAAATCAAATCTTATTTTCAATTTCATTATGATTGTTACCAAATTCGTATAATATTAAACATAATGTCTTATTAAATATTCTAAATATGCAAACTTACCTATGCAAATTATTAACAATATAACAAAAATTTTTGGTGTTGCCATTTTATATTTATAAAATTTATTCATACTTTTGACTATTGAAATTATTAATATAGCAAAGAAAATTCAATAAAGAAGAAAATCAAAAGTGAAATTTTAAATTTAAATATAGAAAAAAAAAAAGAATTCCACCTTATTATTTTTGCTTGTTTGTTTGCCTTCTTCTTTTCTGTTAAGATCTTCTTTCTAAAATCGAATTTTATTTCTGCGATGTATTAAACTTAATTGATTTATTTACACTTACATTCTTTTAAATTATTTAATTCGAATTTAATTATAAAGATTATTTTTGTAAAAACCTTATGGTTTTTTTAATGAACAATACAAAAATGTTCAAAACTTTTATTGATTTCTTATCATTTCAATCTATATATATATATACGATTTAATCTCATAGATCATAAATTGTTTTTTTTTTTTTCAAAACAAAAATATATATTTTTAGTTAATAAATTTTATTCTATTAATCTCACTTAAGTCACGTGAGACAATTTCAATATTACAAAAACAATTTCAATACTACTTTTAAACTCTATACTATTGCGATAGTAAAACCCCGCTGCTATTGAGTTATAAATCAATCGCTCAACAAAATCTAAACTTAAAGAAATTCTTTTCAATTTAATCAATTTATTTCTGGATATTCAAAAAACTTTTTAAAAATAGTAACAAAAAGAGTGAAATGAGTTTTTCAAATAAAATTTTTTATTATATGTTAAATTCCCACCATATTCCAACAGCACACTTTTATGTTGACCAAATTTGAATATAAGAAAAAAAAAGTAAAAATTTTTATATTAATTAAATGAAGAGTTGAGAATTAAAAATAAAAAAAAAAATTTTATTGAGTGAAATGAGAAATGTATATTAAAGTAAATAATAAAAAAATAAAAGAAAAAGAAATATTTAAAACGAGACACAATACAATAAAATGCAAATAAAAATTTTTATTTTCAAAAACAATAGAGTCAAATGATCTAGATTCTCGCGATTAATATAAAAGAAACCAATAAAAACAAACAAACTCATAAGAATGATAGCTGAATTATAATTTATTGCAAGCTTTACATTTCAACTGGTGGTTATTATAAATTTTACTTTTCTTTATAATTTAAAATAAGAAAAAAAAAACAAACAATAAAAGCCGGTATTTTACATATTATGTAGGCAACATAAGTAATAAAATGACAATTATGTATTTTGAGAAAATGCATAAAATTAATAAAAAATATTTATTAAAAGAAAAAGTTTTTAAAACTTGTGTTTTTGCTGTAAAACTTGTGTTGTATTTTTTACATGCCTCACGCACTTAAAATTCTTTAAAATTTGCGAACATAAAGGTCATGATAACTAAATAAATGTTAAATAAATATGTTGGATTGTACATAACATAACGGACAAGAAAAATTAATTTCAAAGTTTTAGTTACGAATTCGTGAATGAAAAGAAAAATCAAATAAATTGTATGTAATTTAAATTATATTTTTTTTTTTGAAAAAGCGCGCGCATTTTTGAATTTAAATAATTTTTTTCAGAAATAGAGGAATATACTAGTGTAACTAGTATGACAGCTATTGTATACGAATAAAATTGTAATTGTAAAAAAATTGCATATATTTAGGCGAAATTTTTAAATTAGAATAGGCAACATTTTTTATTTATTTGATTAAAATCAGATATTTAAAAATGTATTACGGTACATTGGTCGTCCTCTGTTATCGATTTATTCTCTAAATAAAAAATTTAATTCATATAATTCAAATGTAATAAATTCTTACTTTACAGTTTATACACATTTTGGCCTATAATTTAAATTTCCTCAAAGACTGAAAATGGTCTTAAAAACAAAATAATTTTATACAATATTTGTATGAAAAATAAAAATTATAAATTAAAATTAATTGTATAAAACAATTGAAAATTAAAAATAAAATTTAATTGTAAATATTTGATAAAGAAATCTAAATGATTCCCAGAAATGGTTTGTAACATTAAAGGTTTATAACACTATAAAAAGAAAAAATCAAATTAATTCACTGAAAAAATTTTACTGTAGTTTTTCAATGCCTTGTCTGTTAACTCTTTTTTAAGCGATAATGCATTTCACCTGCTTTTGGTTATAAAGGTGGTGTGTATCATACCATGGTTAATATTTTAAGTATATCCTCTACAATTATAATCAAATTGGTTTTTATAAATCTTTCGTAGGATCATCAATTGTTTCTATGGTTGATGTATGCCCCATAATTTAATGCCATATTTTATATCACTATTAAATAATGAATAGAAAATTGATTTTTTTTTTATTTCGTTAAGAATAAAAGGTGAGACTCTGTTAAATACTCCAGCGAATTGTACACTCAAAATATTAAAAATTTTTGCCAAAATCTTGTGTATTATCAAGGGATGATTGTTCTATTCATATTTTTATATATATATATCGCCATTTTTACAAAAATAGTATTATTCTAGGTTAGGTTGCACAATACCCTTCGGCAGGCAAGGTAATAATAGTATTATTCTATATCACAATTAATATTTTTTTAGATTAATTTAAAAAATCCTTTATTGTAGACATATTTGAAAAAAAAAATAATTTATTCGAAATTTTTAAATCATTTAAAAAAAATATCATAAATTTAATTCTTTCACAAAAATATTGCAAGTATGTATGTTTAATTTTTCTATGTCAATTTCCCCATAGCATAAGGTGGCAGTATGTTTGTGTAAACAAAAACAATTCCATGTTCACTAAAATTAGAAAATAAAAAAATAAATAAAAGAGTATATTTTAAAATTTCAATTGAAAATTTATAAATAAATTGTAGCAGGTGCGTTCCAATTTTCCATATTTTCTTTTAAAATATTGAATAGATTTAAATTGGTTAAAATTAAAAACTTAAAAATTATTTTGTTTTATTATGACAACAATTTATTGTTGACATTTCGAATGCATATACTTGACATTTCTATTTTTTATTTATTGACAGATAACAAAATATACCAGTGATTTTAAAATATTTAAATTCAGTTTCCATTATATACATATGTATGTAATATTATTTTAATTAACTTACGTTCTTGAACAATGTTCCCCCATTAAAATTTGATCACTATTTTTAATTGTAGAATTACTATTACACCAACCAAATAAAAATTGAAAATAACTTGAGCATCTAAATCCCCAGAAACCATCATCTTCATTTTCAATAGCAGCTATTGATTCTTTAAAATAAATTATAGCCATCATATGACTACAAAGAGGAATATCTAAAAACCAACAAATAGATTCGAAATTACATTGTAATTCATTATAGTTTAAAAATTTAAAAATAAATTTTATAGTCATTTTTTTGTTATACTATTAGATTTTTGACACATTGGTTGAAATTGTCCACCATTAATATAAAAATCTACATGTCCACTTGGTTCAATTTTACCAAATATTCCCAAATTTGTATGAATCACATCAACAAATTCAGCATCTGATGAATCTAATTTTCTACTTGCTCTTGATGTTGCAAATAATGGTAATGCTGGATCAAGTGCTTAAAATTAAAAAAAAAAAAACAAAAGTATTATCGACTTAAAAATAATTAATTAAAAAAATTTACCAGTTATTCTATTAATTTTTTTTCCAATTGATTTTTCTAAGGCATTACTTGCAAAACCAGCAACATGTGCCCCTAAACTAAAACCAATTATATGAACATTATTAGGTTCAAATTCTGAATTAATTTTTTGTAAATTTTGTAAAAATGTTGCTATACATTCTCCAGCTTGTTTTGTATTTACAGCAGCACTTGGATAACACGGTAATATAACTAAACGTCCCCAATCTACAGCAATTACATTTGTTGAATTAATTTTTAAATATTCTAAAAATTTCAAAATACATTTATGTGCTTCTCAGAATAAAAACAAAATATTTGAAAAAAATTAATTAACCTTCTTGAATTTCTTTGGTTTGATTGTATTCAATACCACCACCATATCCATGTATTATAATTTTATTTTCATTCTTAAAATTTATCCATTCGGGTATTTTAGTACGAAAATTTTCAAATAGAAAAAATCCTTTATCACGATGATCACTTGACGATATATAAAAACGTACAAAATTACTATTACAAACTTCTGAATATTGTATAACACAGGATCCTACAGTTATATTAACACCACCAAATGTATTTTGAAGGCATATAAAATAAAATGTTATTAAACTAGCAACAACTGTTGTAAACATTTCAACTTTTACTAACTCATTACAAAGAATAAATGAAACACTTAAAATAATTTTTTGAAAATGAATTTGAATTCTAAGTATATGCGGTGTTAAGTAAGAAGAAAGACACCAAAAAAAAAAAAAACAAAAACAAGCTAAATAAATAAAAATAATTATATTTTTTTAGATCTATATTCTTTGCCTCTGTTTATTTCTCCAAAATTATCATTCTATACATATGTTTATATAAGTTTTACAATTTTGGAGTTTCAGAACGTGGAAAACATTGAATATTTCAAAAAAGAAAAATATTAAACACATGATAAGAATATTAAGTGATAAACTACAAAAAGCTTAATGAAAGTCAATATAAAGTCAAGCTGTTGATTAAGAATTAGATCTTTTTAATTTTGATAAAATTCATATTATGTATCAAAAGATATAATTGAAAGTTTATACATAATTTTCAAAATATGAAAGCTTATTATTCCAGAAGATTTTAGCTTTTAATTTTATAAAAGACTTTCATGAAATTAGATAGTTTACTAGATAAATGATAGACTTGTCATTATTTATATTGCATATATTTAGGATAACGTCATATTTCTACTGATTTGATTCATAAATTTTGAGCTTAAAATGTTGATTTTTATTTTGAATCATTATAATTGCAAAATTATAATTAATATTATTGACATTTGAATTATACAAAAAGTTCGATTAAAGGACAGTATAAAAATAAATACTTCAAAAATTTTGCAGAATATTTCTTGGAATAAATTCGAAAATTTTCTATAAGCTTGTTTACGATATCGCAGATGAAAGCAGTGAGAAATAAATAAAATTTCAAATAGTCTCTGTTCTATTGTGTTTTTGTTGTAAAATATAATATCGAATAAATGGAAATAAATTTGGAATTTCTTTAAAGTCTTAATTAAAATTTCAAATTTTTAAAATTAAACAATTTCCGTAAACTCACCAACTCAAAATATGCTTTTATCTTATAATAGTTATAAAATTGTAGGAAAAAATTTTTTTCGACATTACAACCACAACTTTAAATTCAAATATACTTTAAAAACGAGCCTCTGTACTATGCGAGTGATTAAGCTTAGAATGTATAGTGTCGATGTATTTATAGTAGTTGAATTTCTGATGCACCTCTCAACATGACATTATGTCTTACTGACATAGTAAAAAATTTTTCAACAGAAAAAGTAAAAATTTTTCTTTTTAGAACAAATTATTATGCTTATTTTTGTTTTCTTGCTAAATTTTTCATGTACAGAATTTATAACTATTTTATTTTTTTTTCTTTTTCACCTTTCTTCTTCGAAATTGTATTTGTTTTATTTTGATCTCCACCCTAAATATATTATGTATAAATTATTTGACATGCTTCTTAGAAATTAATTGTATTCTAGACGCATAATTTCATATTGGCGTGCCATTATTGTACATGTGTGTGATAGGTAAAATTTCTGTTTCTGAATTTTAAAATTCCTCAAATCAATAACAGTAAAGTAACTATGTTTATAGTCTAGCGTTTTGTATCAGTAGAAGTACATCATATACATAATATAATATATATGTATATCAATTGATTGATTCATTATTATTTTGAATATTTTTGGTTAAAATTTAGGTCAATTGGACAAATTTGTAGCCTCTTTATACATAGTTATTTTTATATTTTAAGTTTTTGGCGTTCTCTTAACCCTGATTTGTTTTTGAATATTTTTAAGTATAATTTAAAATTGTATTTGTTTTTTTGGATAATTTGTTACTTCCTATATAGTAAACCAAAATAAACAAAATGTATTGGCATATGTGCGTATATGTACAGGTATAGATGATATAAAAGAATAAAAAAATAATTTTTAAAAATATTTTTGTAATTATATATCAAAAAATTTCTATTTTAATTAACTTAAACCTAAAATATGTGTGTTTTTTTTGTTAAATTATTTACATATAAAGAAATTCCCTTAAAATAATCAAGTCTTCATATAAATATCCTAATGATATTTATAATAAAATGGTGGTGTAACTTTTCTTATATAATATTTTAATTTGTGTTTATTTTGTATAGTTTTCATTTTATAGTTGAATAGCTCATTTATTTTGGTTTTAGTTTTCGTTATACTTTCATTTTCTTTTACCAGTATATTCCTTTATAAATCTGTTGAATAATCTAAACAACATCTTTTATCACCAATAACATCTGATGATGTTGAACAATATGGTGGAATATCATCTTTAAGACAATATGATCCAACAGCACTAAAAAAAAAAAACAAAGACTAATTGAATATAATTATTTCAAAGAAAGAAAAATTTAATTTACTTCATTGGTGTATGTTGACCCATTGGAATTGCATTTCTAACAATATATCTTGCTAAACTTCTTTTAGTAAATCTTCTAAGACCAGATGGACATCTTCTACTACATGGTTCTGCATGTGGTTCATAATCAGTATGTATACTTTGTGCTAAATAACAAATTGCCCATATATGACTACATAAATTTGCATTACTTGTATTACTACAATATGGTTGTCTTTTACCACCATTTACACAAAAATCAACATGTCCAACACGTCCAGTTTCACCATAATAACCAGCATTTGTATGTATAACATGAACTGCTTTAGCATCACCACTATCTAAACGATTACTATTACCGGGCTTAATTAATGGTCGTGCTGGATCAAGCCCTTTACAAAATAAAAACAAAAAAGAAAAAAATAAAAAGAAAATATAAATTTTTCTCCCCCCCCATTTCAAAAGAGTATAAGCAAAATTTTTTCTTTTAACTTACCAATTATTCTTTCAACTCTAAAATTTAAATAATTTGACATAATACCACAAATATGTGCACCTAATGAATGACCAACACATGTTGTTTTATCAACTCTTAAACCAGAATTTCTAAGGAATGTATAACTTTCAGCTAAACATCTAGCTACAGTTTTTAAATTATGTACAGCTGAAACATAACATGGTGGTTTTGCTAATGCACCCCAATTAGCCATAAAAACATTATAACTTCCATGTTTTAAATATGCTAAAATTATAAAAATTCTCGTATTATTATTAAAATTCATATTTTTTTGTTTTATATTCAAACTAAAAACAATAAAAGATTTTTTAAAAAAAAAGTACCATCACGTAAAACAATTAATGGTAAGGCTTCATCATTTCCTGCATAACCATGTATTAAAATAATATTTTCCTTTTGTGGATCCCATTTACTATTTCTTAACCAATCACCTTGATAGACATCTAGCTATATATATGAAAAAATTGTGAATATTTTTAAAAAAGAAATTAATTTAAATATTTTTTCTTTAAGAAAAATAATTAATTTATTTAAAAAAAAATGTTTCATATGCTCGTATATGATGTGTGCCATTATGGTAAACTATGACATAAATAAATTTTCTATAATATTGTGAAATTATACCGGCTGCACTATAAACCTATCTCTTACAACATTTTCAAACTGATTAATAATTAACAAAAAAAAAACTAATTTCCATAAATAGTTACAAATATTCGTATCTGGCCATTAAATTAATATATAATTAAGAAATAATCGAAATAATTCAAAATTTTTATTTATCTTTATAATATGCAAATTAATCAAATCTGATCAACTCATATTGTGAATACACAATAGTACCCCTCCCCCGTTGATATTGCTTTTGTAATATTAAAAGTTATGTATGAATATTTTGACATCTCACATGTCCAATTATGTTTATATATGCAAATAAATTTTTTTTTTTCTGTTATACTTCTCTATTAAGTTTTCTATTCAAGATTATAACAGTTATGTTATAATCAATTTTGAAATATTTTTATTTTTAATACGATGCTCGATACGATGCAATAATCGATTTAAAACAATAACATAATAAGAGAGAAAAAAAAAGAGAAAAAAAAAACAAATTGAAAAATATAAACAAATCAATAAAACCGCTTGGTTACGATAAAAAAAAAAACAATAAAAAGTAAAAAAAAAAGGTAATGTCATGCCTGTCTGTAAATATGTCTAAAATACCTCTACAATAATTTTAGATAAAGATGTTTGAGAGGGAAAGTGATTTACAATTTTTTTTTAAATAAATTAATTTTCATTGAATATGGTAGAATTTTGAAAAAAAAAACTTAAAAAAGCGGCTACCCAAAATTTACTAAAAAAAATATTAAGGTTTCTTAACAGTACTCGTTCGACAATTACACAACTCTTTTAAATTTATTATGCGGTAGTCATTCGGAATTGTATTTTGCATAATAGTATAAACATATTATGTACAACAGCGCCAAAGTAATGTCAAAACTTATTTTATGTCTTAACTAGCGTAATTACCATTTAATTTCAAAATTAAAAAAAAAAAAATAACAATTTATAAGGAAAATGAGAAACAAAAATCCAAAATCATATACAGTCGAACAAGCTTATTTGCAAATTATAGTACGCATTGCATATATTCCCTTATGTATTTTTCCGGCGTTGAGCCAATGAGCCATCTGGCGCGAAATATAGGAATCATTATTTATTGTTTAATGTGATAACACATCCTATAATTTAATTAAAAATTTAATATTGCAAATTGAAAATGAATAGCAATACAAGACGAATATAAGCACAAAAAATTCTGGCGAAAAGACTGTGCATATAAGCGTGTTCGACTGTATGTATACAGATTCAATATGAAATTGTTTTCTTTTTTTTTACTTTATGTATAATTAATAAATTGTCATGTGAAGCATTTTTTCTAAATAGCATTGATGTATAAGAGTTTATAACGGCAATGCGTTATATAAATTAATTTATTAATTGCCTCCAAATTAATTAATTAAATTAATGTCATATATAGATCAATTTTTATTTATTCAAATCTCTTAAATATCTGCGTTTTGTAAACAAACTTTTTAATTTCGAAATAAGCCTTAATATCCACCATATTACAAATTTTTGGTTACAACTAAAAAAATTTCGAAAAATTGAGAAATTTTTTTTTGCTTTTACCCAAATTCTTTACGAACATCTTTCTGTTAAAAAAAAAAAAAACATTTTTATTGTAATTTTCCAAATTTTTTGAAAATTTTAAAAAATTTTTATCTTTAGTTGAAAAAAACCAAATTCAAAATTTCCGATATAACAAAAAAAAAAAAATCAATTATATTTTAAAATTTCATTTTTATATGGACAAATTATTATAATAAAATAAGAAATAAATTTAATAACTATCGATAAAGCCAATAATTATGGTATGTTTTTACATATAAAGAGAGTAAAAAAAAAAAAAAAAAATTATATGCAAAAAGAAAATAAATTATGCACAAAATATTATACTTTTCCATATTTAAAAATGTATTTCCGTTTTTACCAAATTGTATATGTGCACAAAAACGATATGGAAGTCGCGGAATTATATTAGGTCATTAGTCTCTTAATACTTTTATATACAAACATTCTCTTAAACTCTTTTCTTTTATACATATTAATTCACTAAATTAAATAAAAAATAATAGCATGGAAACTATTTAAATTTAAAATGTTTACATATATAGAAAAAAATAAAAAATTTAATTAATTGAATTACCGTAAAACTAGAATAATTTAGAATATTAATTTATATTGATTGATAAAAATATGAATTTAAATTTTGGTCATCAGTCAAATCAAATTAATTATACCTTTCATGATTGATCAAAAAAAAACTGCTCTCAAGAGTCGAAAAGTGTACTTTTCTTTGTAATTTATAAAATATTTAAAAATTTTTTATGTCAACAAATTGCTAAATTATTAAGTCGGATTACGAACAATAAATTAATAATTTTTTTGTGTTTATTTTAAAACTATTAAGCATTTGTTTTGAAATTTTTCTGATTATTTGAAATAAAATTTGAATTTTATTAAATAGTTTTTACATATTAATTAATAATTGAAAATTATTTTATTTTTCAAATTTTTTCTATATCGTAAAACTTTTATCATTTCTAATTATAAGAGAACCTTTTATTATGTCACATTTTCATATTGTTATTCTAGAGATTTTATGAAGAATTATATACGTATACTTACTAATTCTTTACTCTTATTCATTGATGTATACAAATATAAATTAATATCAGGATCAGGACATTTATCGTATAAATCATTTCCACGTTTCCAAACGCAATCCTCTCTAGTCGAATTAAAATTTGATGTATCACCTAAATATAGTGCCTGTTGTATTATACCTTGACCGTAAATCATTTTACCTAAAGAATTTTTTTTTTTTCATTAATATTAATTTCTATAATTTTTATTTCATATTTTAATTATTTTCATAATATTTTTGACATACATAATATATTTTTAAGGAAATGAGCTATTTTGTTATGACACTATAACTTACATTGTAAAAATAAAATACAATAAAATGTCACAGTAAATAAAAATTTTTCATAAATCATTTTTGATTATTTTCAAATTTAATTAAAAATTACAATTTAAAAAGCAAAATAAATAATTATTTTAAATTTTTCGTAATATTTTTTTTTATAATAACCACAAAATTCACTTTTAAACAAACTATTTATTAATTTTTTGTTTCAATCACTTCCAATAAAGAAAAACAAAAAAATTTGGCATTCGCATAACTTTAAGATAATTGGAAAATTTTTTTTTTTAATTGAATACCAAAAAAAAAAAAGGACAAACTTTTTTAACTTGTATAAATTTTCATAGTAAAAATAATTTTCAAAAAAGAAAGGAAAACAAAAGTCTATTAAGAATTTTATGAAATTTAAAAGAAAAACAAAAATTCAAGTTTTATTTCACAATTTTCCTTTTCAATTTTTTATTTTTTGTTTTTATTTATAAAATTTTCCCAAGCTAGTTTTACAGTGAAGGAGATTTTTTCAAAATCGTCCGAATCTTTCGATAGCCTTTACGATATTGTCTTTTATGTGAAAACTTTTTCAACTAAATAGTTACCGTTTGTTTTTTTTCTTTTGTAATATAGTGTCGTATGTGATGGTAAAATATTTTCTGTCTGCCATAGGAATCGCAATATTAAAAAAATTGTGAAAAAAAAACAACAAAATTGATTTTTTTTTTTAAATATTTCTTGCTAACATAGAGTAGTTACTTATACTTACCTATATTTAACTAAATAGAGCTTAATATACATACGAAATACATTCATATATACTACCTTTTTTGTAGTAGGTAAGTTAAAGAGTGACTCGCGTCACATTTACTACATATTGAAATTCAATTTAAACTTAATTTCTAATAATTCGATTTTTATTTTTTTTTGCTTTTATTTTTCTATTTCAAATATGTGTTTACACTTAATGCATATGAATATATAAATACATACATGTACATATATATATTTTCTAATAAATAATATATGTGACATAATATTCAATAAATAAAATATAAAAAAGTTCCATCTCTTAATAAAAAATAACGATTATTTATAAAAACAAAACTAAAAAAAAACAAACAATAAGAAAAAGAAAGAAAGAAAAGTAATGTGCAGCTTTTTGAGCGTAAAATTACAATTTTTAAGTTTATGTGTGTGTGTGTGTGTATTTTTGAATAATATATTCGTACATTTATAATACATGCTATAATATGTATGTATATACATAAATGCATAATTTGTAATAAAAATTTGTTATAATTTTATATGAAAAGTATAAAACAAATGAAAAATAAAAATAAAATTGTGAATTAATTTAGGTCTATTGTGAATTGTGAATAAACACATTTTTAGTGAATATTTAATTAGATCTTTAATATTTTGATACCTAAAATACATAAAGTTTTCCTTACACATTTCTCTCTCTCAAATATCAGCGGCATCAATGAATTGAGAAAGAGTGAAAAAATGCGTTTTGACATTATTGCAGTTACTATGTTATGATGATAAAATCTACTTAAATATACAAATGTTAGCATAAAAAACATACAAACAAACATACATACAAATGTAAGCATACACATATTTTTGAAATATGGGAGCTTTTGACATTAATATTGCAATATTTGTTTTTCTAAATAACTGTAATTTTCATTTATATATTTTTTTTTTGAAATTCTTATATCTAATTAAATTATCATTAAATTTTTATCAAAGAAATAAATGTTATGCATTGATTTAAAAGATTTTGTTAATAATAATAATAACGTTTATCTTTTTCATGTCATGTGTGTTTATGGTTTGATATACTTTCAACTATGTATTTAACACTTTTCCTGCACCAATTTAAGGGATAATGACAATTAAAATTTAAAATTTCTCAAAAAAATATTGAATTTGTCCCAAATATTGAACCCAATCCAAATTCAATCTAAAAAAGAGTAAGAAATTCCAGTTTTTCAAAAAACAACATTGATTGTTGTTGGATGGTTATTTGAAATTTGTTTGAAACGCAATGCTCTCCGTTTAATTTTCCTTCTGTTTCTATATTTTTATTTTTTGGTTTTAGTATTTCGTTAATATTTTCCTTTCCAATTTACTCAATTTTCTCTGTACTTTAATTCCAGTAAAAGTACGGGAGTGCTTTTGATTATTTAATTATATTTATAATTATGATTATTTAATAAGTAAGAACAATTCAGAAATAAACCAGAAATCTGTTTTAAAATGATATTCACAATTCAATGGATTAAAAAGTACTAATCAAACGAATAGTACTTCATACATACCTATATGAAGTTTCAAAATAAATTTTCAAAATTGGGTAAATTAGTAAAAATAGTAAACATGTTTAATTCATGTAATTTATACATTATCATACTTGCTTTCTCAACACATTTCTTAATTTACCTTAAGCTACTTAAATATTTCAAGAAATTACAAAAACATATAAACTATATAATATACGCCATATTACTAAAAAAAAGTCCTGAAATTAAAATTTCAGTGCCACAATTTTACAAGTACAAAATATAAGCACTTGTATACTCACAATAAATACGATAACATATTTTGTTTACTCAATATTTATGTTTACTCAATAAATATGTATGTATATGTATATATTTCTTACAAAAATTTAAAACTTTAATAGAAAAACAAATTGATGCAATTAAAGAAAAACTCGATTTTTTCATTTTCTATGAGCTTTAAAACAACTTTGATCAAAAAAAAATTTCATAATATATAATTAAAATTTAGAGCAGCAAAAAAAAAGTACAAAATAAAATAACTGCAACCGTTGGCATACTATTACACTTTTTCACTATATTAAAATTATCTACTATATAAATACATGTATTCAACTTAAAATATTATTAAATACTTCGATTTTCTTATATAATTTTAGAATTAAATAATTTTATTAAACGATGTAAATTGTTATATTATTATTATTACTTCATATACAGTTTACTTTCATTTAAAATGACAGAAAGTTCAGAAAATAAATGAGTATAACTACAAAGTATTACATACGGCCACCATGCGGCGCATTGAACAATTAAAATTAGTATAATTTAGTAAGCGATTAATTCAATCAATAAATCTAAATTAAAAATTACTTAAACTCTGATTTTTACCCAACATTTCATTGTCATCTAATGCAGTACAATTTGCAGTAAATTTACTGTATTATACACAACACTATAAATTAAAACTAAACAATTGTCATAATTAAGTCTTAATTTTTTTTTTATCCGGACATTGCATTTTTATTATATAGCAAGAATTTACAACATTTATGGAAAAAGCACAAAAAAAAACGGGTACATGTGCTTAAGCTTTATTAGTTCCATAATTTTATTAACAGTAACGTATATATTTCCTACTTGGCATTCACAATTATGTTGCAAAACAAGTTGGTTGATATTGATTGAAAATGAAAAAAACTAAAAAAAAAAAAAACCGAAGAAAAATGCAACTATCGTTTATTAGGTCCAGTTTTTTCTTCTTTCTATCATCATTTTTTTTTTATTTCATCCGATTTATTAAACGATGATCTTGACAATCGAGTTTCATTTTCAAATAAAAATTCCATTGATAATTTTTCTCACATTACTTTTACTTTTATTTCATTGGATCTTTTTTGTTTTTTACTATGAATTTTACAATATTCAAGAAGTTTGTTATATAATTGTTATTTTCGTATACACAAATATATTATATAAAATAATAATTATATAAAGTTTTAATAGCGAATTAAATTAATTTTTTAATTGCAAATTGTTATCGTGAAATAGATGGAAAAATAAAGCTAATTTTTTGCTATTAAATATAAGGAAAAAGGATATTATGACGAATATTCATTTGAAAGAGAGACGCTTTCAATAAAATTAACTACTGAATAACGAACGATTAAAAAAAGAAATATTGGAAAGACAAAATCTTAACCCAAATTAATTAATATAAGCTTAAAATACCTACTTAATAATGAACATAGTACATACTTTTACACATGACTATATTTGCTCCCATATATATACATGTACATATACAAATTCTAATTCAAATTGTCAATGTTAAAATTTTTACTTCAAAATAAATTCATTAAAAATTTAATTATAATTAGAATTCAAAGTAATTTATTGCAATATTTTGACATAAATGCATTTTGATATTAATTAATTAATGAATTGGACCTATTTTAATTCAATGTCCAATAAATTCAATGATGTCATTGGATGTCAATGTCCAATAAGGATAATGATGTCATATTATTTAATGGAAATTTATTCTTCATTACCAATTCAATTAAGGTTATATTGTTGCCATTTTAAATTTTAATTAAATTAAATTAACAAATTAGTAATTAAAATATAATAAAATATAATGTATACAATTTACTTGTCAAAAAATTGAACGAAAATTGACTGTTCATCACTCAGGCCACCCGATTTCAAATCATTTCTAAAGAACGATGGAATTAAAAAGTAGTAAATAAACAAATTTCAGGAAAAACCACTTAGTAGATCTACAAAGATAGTTTTGTATACATTGATGAATTTTTTACACACGACGTTTGAACAAGCAGAAGTTTTGTTATTCGCATTCTTAAATGTTGACTACAAGAGCGACAAAGATTAAGTTTGAACAGAAGACCATAATAAACTGTGTAATTAGGGGATATGCACAGGGTGGAATGTTGTCTCAGCCGATGCAAAGAACTAGGTAACAGGTGGCCTCATGTACCCTATAGATTATTGACGTTCAGACTTACGCTCCCAACATCGTTATCATTGGCATGAGCAAATACGAGAACTCTTTTTGCACCATTATGCAAAAGAGACTTTTGATTGAAATATGACATACATAACGTCAAATCACACTACGTCAATAATATACCATATAATGTATTGTGTACAAAAGGAATTCGAATCAGTAGAAATTATAAATAAAATATGAAAAACATAATATCAAACAAACTGACAGAAGGCTCAACAAAAGTATAATATTATGAAAATATCGACTCTTTACATGAAGGATATACACAAACACATTAATTTTTGTATACATATACGAGAATAGAAGAAGATCCAAAACATGTTACAAGTTTCTTTGAACATCTTATACTCTGGGATCACAATTGATATACTGATGTTCGAAATTGCATTTATATGAATTATCTACTCGTATAATATAAAAATTTTTAACTAAAAACTATTAAAATAAAAACATTATCACATTATGAATATAAAAGTGAAAGTAAATGCTTAAACATAATGTAACTAATAAATCACATTATTTATTATCTTCTATACTAATTTTCATGTTAGTATGCACAATTCCATGAATCGCTTATACTATTTGTTGTGTGTGTATTAAAGAGCAAGTAAATAATATTGACTCCTTATGCTTCAAATATGAATATTTACTTTTTACCGAACTATCATGACCTTCATTGAAATGCATCGGATGAAGTTTAAATGAAGAAATAAGTTAGATAATTTTTTACGTATCATTTTCGAAATTCAAAAGTAATTATACGAAAACTTGTAAAAATTTAAATTGTTTTAATATTAATTGAATTGGCAAACAGATGTTTTTTAATTTATAGTTAAAATTTTAAAAATTTTATAAAAGTTTTGTAAATTTTTCATCGTTTCTCAGTCTGGTGGCATTTTCTTTTGATGTTAAGTGATGTATTTGTATTACAAATTCATTAAAATGTTACATAGAGCTTAACAATATATTTTAGTTCATTATTATTTTAATTTTTACTCACTCGAATTGAATATTAAATTTTTTGAAAATGTGGTAGAAAAAAAAAATTTTTTTTTTTATTTTGTCTAGATATATAAAATAAAAATTGATGTATTTTAGTTGGTTTTTTTATGAATTTTAAAATAAAATAAAAAAAAAATTTAAATAATATGCGATTTGCATTCGGTTTTTGTATTTCAATGGTATAGTGTAAAAATAAAAATGTCAATGCAAATATTTCCCAAAAAAAAAAAATATTTTTTATTATTTTTTAAACTGTTATGCAATTTTTAGTTGGACTTTAATTTATTCCACAAAAAAAGAGTAACAAAATTATTTTTCATGGTAACATAAAGCCCTTTAATAAACTAAAATGTAAATATTTTTTTTTTTGTTTATTAGCTATTATTCATCTTTACATTTACTCAACTAAATAAGTTCATTTTGTTGAATAAATATGCAATAGTTTTCTTTCAGGACGGTAACTCTCGTGATTTTTAAATTTCTATACAATTTATTACTGTAAACCAACTTGTCGGTACTTTTTGTTGGTTACTGTACACCAAAGAGTCAAAAAGTCGAGCAAATGTAACATTATATTTGTAAATAATTTTGAGAGCTTCAAGTTTACCGTCTAGAATAATTTTATACATATATACTAAGACACATTTAACAATCAAGCAGATATTATTTGTAACGTGAATTACGTATAAGTATATCAGTTACTGAATAATATGGATTGCAAACTAGTTTACCAATTTACCAACTAGAGTAGCCTTAATAAATAGTTTTCTCTATTATTAGCTGGTAAATTTTTAATTCGTAATTATTTACAAACAACTATACATAATTTACATAATGCTATAATAATACAGCTTAACATTTTAATCGTGATTAATAATATAACTGTTATATATATACCTAAAATTAATAATATAACTGTTATATATATACCTACTAGTATATATATGCAAAATAATATACTAGTTATACTTTCTTAAGGTTTTAATAAATTTTACATATTATTTAGGTACACAATTTCTGTTATACATTAGATCAAAGACACAAACCATTTATGGGAAATTTTAAATTACACAAAATTTGTTTTTCTATTTCCTGTGACACATAAATATGTTTTTGGTATTTTTTTCAAAATTTTTTAAAAACCAAATTATAAAATTATAATTATAAATTTTTGTACCTATAAAAAAAAATATTTACTCGAATGACATTAGTAACTTTTAGGTAGGAACAACATAATTCCTTTAACATTAAAATTATTTTATTTACTATATCGAAAATGTTACCAAATAAACAGTCACAAAATCGAAAATAAACAAGTAAGAATATTTTTCAAGCGCTTCCATTCAAAAAATATTCACATAATTTTTCAAAAAATAAAAAAAATTTAACCTCAAAAAAATTTTCCTTACTATTCAATTAATTATTAATTATTGAACAACTTATAAAAAATTTATTTTTTGTTACATAATTAATTTGAGCTTTATTTTTTGAACATCCTATAATTATGCAATTTTTTTTTCATATATAACATTACTTTTGTATGTACGAATCAAATATGACATTTCTCATATATTAAATTTTTCTTATTTCATTCAAATTGTTTTCCTATTTTTTTCTCTTAAAAAATTGTCCCTTTTAAAAAATTTCAAAATATAAAAACAATAAAAACAAAAATTGCTGCAGGATACAATCAAATCTGTCAAATCAAAAAATTAAATGAAAGCGCGCATGTGTCAAAAAACAAAAAAAAAAAATAATTTTTGTTTATTGAATTTTAGGATTGCTTTTTTGCTATACATGCATGGTACTGGAAAAGTCATAAATTTCCTTATGACAAAAAAAGGATAAGAACTAAAAAAAGGAAAACACACATAGGAAATACAAAAAAAAAAAAAAAGTTTTATTATTTTTTTTTTATTTAAGAAAAGATTTTATAAATATCATTGAAAATATTATGAATGTCGACCTTATTATTCCATATTGAGGTAAATATTAAAATATTTTTGGATTTCAATTGAATTTTGTTGAATAAAATTTTCTTCTTAACAAAAAAAATACAAAATTACTGAATTATTAATTGAAGACAGTGAAGAAAAATTAATTAAAAAACCATAAATTCAAAATAATATTACTAATTTTTCATATTTAAATTTTAATATATGCGTGGAAAAAGTTCAGAATAAATTTAAAATATAACCGGAACATACACAAATACCCGTACATATAGACTATATTAATGTAAAAATAAAAGCACTTAACACAATAAAATAACAGAGGAAAAATTCTTGAAATGTAAAAAAAAAAATGTAAAATATTTTGTTAATTAGGTGGTGCCTATATCTATAATAAAAAAAAAAAAATTCTTTCAGTTTCTACCTATATTTTATAACATATAAGTATGTTGTGTGTATGTACACATAAGTGTAATAATGTTTCTATACGTTATACAAAACGATATGCATAGTGTGAAAAAAAAATAACCTAAAGGAAGAAGAATATTATCACATAAATCATGTATAAAAGTATTTTTACTCATATTACGAATTTCATATATACGAGTACATTTGGATATATCATATTCATAATATATATGTATATATATAGCGTATATATCAAGTAAATTATACAATAATGAAAGGATATATTATAAGGACATGATTTCCTTTTCAAGAAAATATAAATTCAAAATATAAGATGAAAATTTTATAAAGTGAAATGCTCTATTTTAATTCCAATATACTCGTAAATAGAAAATGTCGAGATTATTATGGGCGGGTACAATATCTCTAAAAATTTTTAATAACAAGCAATTATAATGGCTTAATTATCCATACGATATATATATATATATATATACTTGAGCGAATAATTAAATTTATTCGTATATCATTTTATTATTTTAATTAATTTTAAATATAATTTTACAATAATATATGTATGTAATTATACGTATATATATTTAAAGAGAAAAAAATGAGTAAATATCAAAAAATGCAAAGTACACCAGCAACAAATCCCAAACTAATACTACTTAAAATATATTTGCAATATAAAGTGTTATAAATGGAAATTTAATTTTGTTATACTCATTACTTTATTGGTCATATTATTGGTCAAGTAACTGAAACGGAATTGATTTCTATTATAAATCAAAATAGTTATGCATGTAATAATTTCCTAAAGGAAATTTATATTGAAGTGTAATTGAAAGAAAATTAAAAGCCTACTTATAGGCTGTTGATGAATTACTTTTTTTTTTTTGTTATTGTTTTTTCTTATTTTATTTTCTCTTCTATGTTTGTATAAGAAACATTTATTTTTTTACTTATACGTACAAATACATACATATAATGTGAATTTAATTAAACAATTTAAATTAATTTCCTTTTTTTTTCATTTCTCTCTCTCTCTCTCTCTATTTTTAGCTTATAATCTTTTCATTATTAACAATATTATCATGGCCCCGGATAGAAATAAAACATACATTATGCTCTCGAGATAACAGTAGACTTGTTAGAAAAATAATACATTCTAAATGGCAACCAATACTTGATCAATATAAAGTAAATCAAAATTGTACAATTTATGAAATTATTTTATAAAAAAAAAAAAAAAAAAAAAAAAACAAAATATTTTAGGTAAAACTTCCAATAGATTGCCCTTTTCATAAAATACGTGATATATTTTGGCCAATTCAAAAAGCAAAAAAGAAAAATCGACCAACTCAATGGACATGTTCCTTATGTGGTAAAAGCTTTTTCTCTGAGAAATATATTGATGATCATTTAGAGAAACATGATGTGATTAATCAGGTAAATTCTAAAAAAAAAAATTTTAATTAATAATTATGTATTATGTATTTTTTGCTATTTTAAGGCTGAGGATGCCATTTGTTTAGCAGATTTTTGCGATGTTATGCGTTGTGATGTATGGTCTTCACAAGATTTAACATTATCATCTTCTGCTCCCATAACAACTGATATGGAAGTTTGGAAAGATAAAGCAAATAATTTACCTCAAGGAAGCCTTATAAGACTTGACCCAATTGCTTCTGAGTAAAATATAAAAAGAAAAAATGTTTTTTTTTTTTAAATATTAAAATTTGCATAATTATAGACGTTCATAATATCAAAAGTTAATTATTTCTTTATTAAATTTTTTTTTTTTTTTTTGAAAATAATTGAAAATTGAGCTTTATTATATTACATAGAATTTGGTTTTGCAAGTATATATAGAACGGGAAGTCGCTTGTTCATCTGCTCTATTGCAGGTTGGATTTTTTTCAATTATACTGGATTTCGTATTATATACTTGCCAATAAAATAATAAAAATGTTTAACTTTTGATTGAAACGTTCAAAATTATAAAATTTTTCGAAATTTATTTTAAAAAAAAAAAATTAAAAAATATATTTTTTTTCCTTATTTTTACTTATAGAAGGAAGTTGCTGCCGGATACAAAACCTAATAATATTTTGAAAAAATCACAAATATCAATGTTAAAATTTCTTAGAAGAAAACCATGTAAAAGCAATATGGAAGAAAATAGTAAGTTAGAAAAAAAAACAATTATTTCATATCAAATAGCAAATTAATATTATAAATTTTTTAGGAAAATATTCTTCTCCACAAAATCCTAATACAAATGATAATGACAATGATGGTAATACAAATGCAAAGACATTCTCAACAAGCAATCAAACTTTTAACAAATATAATAATTTTACAATAAATAATGGTACAGAAAATCAAAAATTTTATCGTAAATGTGATCCAGATGGTATTGCGAAAATTAAACAAAAATGTGAATATACGGTACGAAAATGTATAACTGGATTATTATTAGAGATGACCGATTTACAATTTAGAGAATTAGAAAGTAAGTTGGAATCAATAATCGAATCGAAATCAGTGATATCTAGAGAGAACGTTTATTATAATTTTGTATATACAGTGTTTTTCTCTTCTTTTCAATTTCTAATTATGAAATTTAATATGAAATGAAATGTTAAAGATGTAAACATGTAGATCATTGTGTTAAACAATAGAACAAAAAAATAATTTGTATTTCTATTTATTTTTTTTTTTGTAGATGAATTAAATCGTGTTGTTTGTTGGTATCTAACATGTGATCGATATTGGGAAGATGGTCCAGTACATATGAAAAGTTTTCCATGGGCTATTTTATTTTTAGGAATTTTTATTGTATCTCTTGGAATAAGTTTTTGTTATTACATTATATTCATAAGATATGAGTAAGTTTAAATTCTAATAAAAAAATTACATAATATAGTTTATATTTATAAGCACAATTATATAAATAAAAATTCAAAATATATTGTACAATTATATTAATGCAAAAATTTAAAAATTCCATATTAAATAAAATATTTAAAATTTTATGTTAATTTAAATTGTGAAATAAAATTATTGTATATTTGGTGTTTGTTTGTTGCGCTTTTCTTTTATTTATTTTCTTGTTTTTTTTTTTTTTCTTTTTATAATCATTACTATGATTCTGTTCTATTTTGTTTTTTTATTTTCAATCATTTTAGAACCACTGAATATAGTAACAATAGTAGAGATATATATAGACCAACACATAATGCTGTAAATTCAATAAAAATGCGTACACCATCAAATTCGAGATATTCAACAAATCATCCTAGATATAGAGAAAATTCTAATGTGCCCAATATACAACATCAACAACAACAATTACATCAACAACAACAACAACAGCAACATCAAATGCAACAACAACAATCATTTCAACACAATCAATCTAATCAATTACAGCAGCAGCAACAACATCGTAATATTATTGATTATGACAAAGATATTATTTGCTCAGAAAGTATTGATATTCGAACTGATAATGTAACACCAGCCCAAAATAATCATTATATTTATGTTACTTATCCAACCGAAGTCAAAAAACAATTATTTGATTCAAATTATTGAAGAAAAAAAAACAAAAAATAATAAAAAAAAAACAAAATAACAAAAAAAAAAAATACTAAAAATTTTAAATCAAATTTTAGAATAAAAATCTTAAATTAAAATATAAAAAAATGTTTTGTTTAATTTTCACTTCCAGCAAATTTTAATGAATGTAACAGTGAAAACTGTACTTGTTTTCGCTCGTTTACTATAACAGTGACATTAAATCAAAGAAATGCATTTCTTACTTATCTATAATAAAGTTGGATCAAACTAATCGTTTGTATTGTAGCCCTTTTCCCTCCAGCAAGTAAAAAAACACTATTAAAATTATTTTCATTCATGAACGAAACTATTTCTAGGATTGCATATATTTAGGATGAACGATTTATGCAGTCTTTGAAATGCTCGAATTTAAGGGTTAATTGTGTGAGTTAAGAAAAATAATTATATTTTTATGGGATTTACCGTTATCTTTTTGCGTTTATAGAAATTTGAAAAAGCTTGCAGTTTCGGAAATATAGGGCGTCAGAAATTCAAATTTTGCAAATTTCAAGAGGCAATAACTTGAGAGTGGGTGGAGATGGAAAAATATTTTCTTCTAACGAAATTAAGCATTTATTAGCTCCTAGAATTTCAGGCTTCTACAGGCTGGGGTCTAGAAGAAAAACGAGATCAAAAATTTTGAAAAAACGGACTTTAGATAACGGTAAATTTGAACGGCCATTTTGTTTTTCTAAAGTTTAACTACAGTATACCGCGCTAGGGGAAGCAAGCCATTGTTTGCGTTTGTAAAATTTGAAAAATGCTTATGGTTTCACTGCAATAAATAGTTAAAAAATGTTTTAACTATTTAGTTATTACAGTTTTTTCAAAAATTTTTTGGAAAAGTGCTCAAAACATAAGTATTTACAACATTTATTTTGTGTGGAAACAATAATTTCTTTAGCTTGAACATTATTACTTACAAATTAGTGCTTCATCAAACAAGCGTTATAATTAATATCAAATTCAAGTACAATAAAATATTTGTACTAAAATAATATCATTTCTATTGCTAAACTCTTAAGCTGTTTAAATTTTTAATGAGCTTCAGAAAATAAGAGAAAATTACTTTCTTTTTGCCAGATTTTAACACTATCAGCCTCATATCAAGAAGATGTTGAATATATGAAATAAAAAATTTGCCTCAAAAAAGAATATGCATCAATGTCATCAATATTGCATAAAATTCATAAATATTAAAGAATTATTATTATTTATTTAATTTAATTTAAATAAATTTTCAGTAAATTTCAGACAAACATTAAGCCATCTAAAACATTATGTAATTATTTTTATCTTCTAACTGAGATGCAATATAAATATATAAAAAAAAAACACGCTTTATTGCCACATATTGATAAAATGATGCTGACGATCAAAACACCTGTTGCACCATTATTACAAATAAATATAATACATATAGTATACATAAATATTTCCATAACAGTATATTTATTTATTTTTACATATACATATATACAAACATGCATGCTCTTGCATTAACATACATAGATGTATTCAAAGAAATGTGTGTATGTAAAGTAATTTTAATTATTTTAGAAAATGCAATTTATTTTTTATCGTGTTTTACTCCTATTATATACAAAACAAAAATGTTTCTATACAAAGAAAATTATATAAAGAGAATGTTGCTTAACATTTTTGTATAAACATTTTCTTACATTTAAATTTTTAATACCGCTGCTCTATTAACTGTATTCAAAATATAAACGTTAAGCGTCACCACAATGTAAATATAAAATTTAATAATAATAAAATGTAGCAATATTTGTACGTATGTATGTATATTTTTTTTCTAAAAGAGAATAAAAAACAGAAGAGAAAAAATAATTTAACGCAATAAAAACTAAATAAAAACAATAACAACTTAATATTAGTAATTTTTTTTATAACATGCATGCATGTATTTTTTATAGATATGTACATATAATAGGTATATACTGTGTGTATACGTACGTTTTGAAGGTGTACTAATGTGACATTTTATCTAAGTTGTCACATTACTAAAACTAAAACTAAACAATAAAAACACAAAACAATAAAAGCACAAAATATAGAATTAAAAATAACAAAAAAAAAAAAAAATAGAAAAAAAAATTAAAATTGTAACACAAGAATTTTTAGTGTTAATGTATTTTATTTATAATACAAAAATAGTATGTACTTATATATGTATGTAAACATATTCATATAAGTACTATACTATTATTATTATTATATATTTTCTTAATATATTTATATAAATATTATATTGAGTACGTTATATAGTAATAGCATGCGTATATTGTGGCATGTAGCCTACAATAATATGCATAAGGTCTCCCTTTTCATGTGCTCTACTATTAAGTATAGTGTACGACAATACATTGTCGTTTAGACTCGTTGTAAAATAATCCAATTCGTGATATATACATATATATTTTCTTAATATATATACCTTCATACAATTAGATTATTATTTATGTACATGTTAGAATGTATATATAAATATGTATATATATACAATAATAATAATAAGAGCTAACAACAAAAAATTTAATTCAACAGTATAAAAATGTCATCGGAGCTTTTTATACCTTAAATGATTGTACTTGGAAAAAATAAAAAATAAAACAAAAAAAAATTGTGTTTTGTCATTTTTTTATTCTATTTTTTCTTTCTTTTTTTTTTCATTTTCTAAATTATGCTTCATCGTCAACAAAAAATAATTCATCATTCGTCAACAATATTATTTTAGTGTTGAAAGAATATTAAAGCAAATGAAAATTTATAAAATTTTTGTGCTCTCATTTAAAATTAAATACGATAAAAAAAAATTTAAAAATTATTTATTTAAAGAAAAATATTTTATAAAAAAATATAATTAAATTATATTAATTAAAAAATTACAAAAAAAAAAACTATATAACAGTATTAAAATTTAAAATTTTTCAAAAAAAAACAAAATTATAAATTTATATTAAACGGTAATAATAATAGTTAATTTGATTACATATATACAACGTGTATTTGTAAGATTATTTATGTATGTGTTTATATTGTGAATATGTTTGTTAATATATAATAAATACATATGTATACATATATATCTAATACCTATACTAAAAAAAAAAAAAAGAAAATTCAATTAAGAAATATTCATTTGGGGTTGAAAAACATTAATGAAATTTTAAACGAAATTCTTATACACACATTTACATACACGTATACATATTATGTGTGTGCCTTTGTATATTCTTAATTCATGTGAAATTTTTATATTTCGTGCTCTTAAATGTTAATATTACAACTTAAGTAAAAAACAAAAACAAGTTAAGTTTACAACACAAAATTTCTTTTTTCACTTTAAATTAAATTGAAATAAAAAAAAAATTTTAATTTTTAGTGAAATTTAATTTCATTTAATTTCTTTATATAATTTTATAATGAAAAAGCAAATATAACATCTGTATAGTATATTTTTTAAGTTTTGTAATTAAAACACACTTTTCTTGTAATTTTAATAGAGCAAAACATATCTAAGATAAAAACCAACAAAAAAAAAACACTGACAAAAGAAATGAAAATAAGAAAAAGTAAAAGAAAAGCAAAAGAACAAACAATTTGTTATACGTATATATATATATATATATATATATATAAATATGTATATAAATTAAATATTTAAACAAAGTTTATAATATCATTTTTAACCGTTATAGCGGCTTATTTTAATATACGTCTACATTATAATTTTTTTATGTATGTAACAAAGATAAAAAAATTTAAAAAAAAATAAGAAGAACAAACAATCTTAACTTCTTTTCAAATGCGCTATGAAATAGAAAAAAAAAATCGTGCAATATCAATTTAACAATATTATATTAACAATAAACTGTGATACAATTATAATGTCATATTTAAATATACACGTATTGTGAAGTATATATATATTAATATTTTTTATTTATTTTTTATTTTTTTTTTTCGGTTTTGGTATTTCACGGATGAACAATTTTTTTATTCTTTTTTAAACAAAATCCATAAATCCAAAAGATCTATTAAATCAAGACTTTGTCAAAATGCCACATAGTAATTTTGAAGTTTTTTTTTCTTTTCACAATAATTTATTAAAAATTAATTTAATTAAATTTTTATAATTTAATTATAACATACTTACAATGCTATTCAAGAAATAAAAATTTTTTGTTTTATGTTATTACTTTAATTTTGTGTAATATTTAAGAAATTTTGGAATTAAATTCGTAATTTAATAACAAAATGCCAAACGAATTAAATGACAAATTAAACTGTCAAAATATAATTTCGATTCTTATCCACGCACTAATGTTAAAGTATTAAAAAAATTTTTTAAACCACTTTTCTAAAAAAATTTCTCCAATTTCATTTAATATATTCACAGATTTCTAATTTTCGAAACTAATTGTAAATTATTCTTAAAATTTATGACGGACGGATATAATTTGTTTTCAAATTTGTGAATATTGCCATGTCATCATCAATATTGACGTTTTCGGAAAGTTAAAAACGAACAATATAAGTGGTTCGTCAATTTCAATTTTTACAACAAATGTAATTTTGGCAACTATTGTTACCAAATTTCAGATAAACTTGACATAACCGATTGACCAGAAATTGGTAAAATTGTAATGTCGCATTGCAATTTATTAAAAATAATTCTATATATTACAATTATGAAAGAATCGATACTCCTAATTTCAGAAATAACTTTATACATTTGAAATTTAGCTTATGTCTCTATAATAAATCAAATTATTTGTACAATATTTAGAATTGAAAAGTTAAACAAATTTATCTATAAGGTTTTATTACTATACGTGTGCTTAAAAAAACAAAGCCAGCGTAAATTTTTTGAATACAATTTGTACGTATGTATTAAATATTAATACATTTAATATTCAATGACCATGTTTTGCAAAAATAAAAAAAAAAACAAAATTTTTTGTAATACCTTTTCATCTATGTAAATTG